CAAGATTCTGTTTCACTCAACTACACCAACAAACCCCCAAGAGTGAGTGCAATCTGGAGCCAACAGGTCAGAGGTTTTCAGAGATCATCAAGGATGTAGAAAACCCCTAATTCTGTATTGAATGCAGGAATTCCTTGGTCTCTTGACTCGAGCTCTCTGGCGGTGCTGCTCTGTTCTACTCTCTGAAAACATAGCTGGTGGTTGGAGGTGGATGAGGAAGAAGAGAGCCAATCTGAAGTATTCGTACAGATCTGGGGCTCTCATTTATCAACCGTGGTTCCAAGTTCTGGCGTAGGAAGGAAATTTAGAATGTGTGTAAGTACAAAAACATCTGTATTTATCAAACATGCGGACACTGGTCGTACGCACACTAGTAAGTAATCGGTGATGATAAATCCCACCTGTTCTTTTCTACCGTGCTCGTGCATGGTTCAGGTCATTTGCATTCAGAAACACCTCCAACTGACCATATATGGTATCAACAATCCCTTTATAATTGGGTGGATGGATTTTTTGTTGAAATCATGGAGGTGCACACTCACAGAGCTGTTCTGCAGAATGAGTGAGTAGTGTGTTCCTCCAGGCCACCTGGCAACAACGTTCAACAGATACATATGTGCATCGCAGATTATTTGTGTATTGATTGAATGGAATCCTGATCTGTTGACATAACTAAATTCATTGTGTGAAGATGCTTTTATTGCGATGTGGGTGCAACTTATGGCTCCAATTATGCTTGGGAATGCAGGTGCCGCAGCTTTCAAACTGACCCCATAACCACAGACACACATACACTCACAGGATTACCAGGTTATCCGACCTCCTCACTCACTTGCCTCCTTTTTATTCCAGTTTCAGTAACTGAAAGAAAAAGTATCATATAATTTGGGGCACCCACACACTGAAACGATCAGTTTGTCCTCCATTTTAGATACCAGTGAACAACCGTCCGTTTTCATACATCACCTGGCAACCTTATCGCAATGCAAATATCCGCTCAAGTTGACTCATGTGCAACCCCTGCCCAATTCGCGTCATTCACGCCACCAGAGTAGTACGAGCGTCTAATCCCATCTTTGCATTGACTTTACATGAAATTCATTCACGCAAATGATTTTGCTTGCGCTTGGTGTGTGGAGACAGTTAGACACACAGGATCAGAGTTGAGTGTGTTCCGTCAGCGTCGTGTGCCATGCATCAAATAGGTTCCAGTTCTAATCAATGCTGCAAATTACACAAGAAGCCTTTCTGCACCATCTCAGAAGCGTGTTGAGTGCTCCTCTACTAAAGATACGTGCCAAGTCTATTGTCACTGCTCTACACGTCAGTGATGTGTCAATCCTCACAGAGAAGTTCGTCCTGGACAGGATGTCAAGCATGAAAACCGCACGTCATCTGGTAAATTTTCAAAATTAAAACACCATTTGCGAACTTGCGACTGTTTATCAGTTTGTGTAGATGAGATGTAACTCGCTCAACACGGATCATGTGGGGTTAAGGCACTATGTGAGGGGTGTTATATACAGGTTTTTTGAGCTGGATGATGTGTGAAATAGAATCCCAATGGGATGGGTCAAAACCCTGACATGACTTGAAAAGGATTATATTAGGCATAACCACTACCAAACCAAACAATTCCCTACTTAATACTCGGCTAAGAACAAAATTAAAAAAACAAATAGAAAAAAATATATTGTAAGAATGAAAACATTGAATGAAAAGAAGACAACCAAAGGGACTCCTGTTGTTCCTGAAGAGTAAGGCAAAAGGGGATAATGCCCCCGCACATGGAGCACTGGTGGTTCAGTGGTAGAATTCTCACCTGCCATGTGGGGGCCAGTTCCAAATAGCGGTTGCAGAAAATCAGCCAATTGTCACGTTTATTAAGTTTTCTATTATTTCTGTATGTTCATGTTAAGTTTCCTTTATTTTTCATACAGTCATGATTGGTTAAGTCTTCCTTTATTTTTTCACTCTTGTGTTTTCACATTTTACATCTTATCTTGACACTTTTATTTTGAATCACTAACCCTTGTCTCTGTTTCAGATGTGTTCCTGCCTGTCCTTCCCCCATCTTGTCACACCTGCTTCCTGATTGTGCCTCCCCACCTGTTTCTCATCAACCTCATTACCTCCTGTATTTAACCTCATGTCTTGCACCCTCATTGCTAGTTTGTCACACCTCACTGTCTTTGTTCTGGCCTTCACTCATAGTCATGGTCAAAGTCATAGTCACATTCTGTTTCATGACACCAAAAGGATGAAAGTCTTTTCTTTTAATTCAAGGTGTTCGAATGCTTACTTAGTGTGGGTTTAAATCCCCACTGAGACATCAGAGATTTGAGATGAGATTTAGGCTATGATTGTTTGTTGTTAACTTGTTCATTAAGAGGGAGGTATCTGAAGTTGATGTATGAATCATTTTATATTTACTAAGATTTAAATATGTCAATGATTTCCTTGTTTTAAATACAGATAAACTCATGTAAACCTTCTGAAAGCAATGTAAAAGTTTGAAACTGCATCAAAATGTCCATGCTGGTGAGCCAGCAACAGTACATCTTAGCATTTTTATTCAGACTCAATAAAGCATGGAACAGGAGGTTTTGTATTTAAATGGTGCAGTTAAGTTGAAAAGAAGCTACATTATTCAGATTCCAAGCAGTAAAAAAAAACAATAAATTTCAATTTTAATCATGAAAATAGTTTTATTGTCAAGCAAGTTTTAATGTTAAGATATTTTTCTTTTTTTACATTATTTAACAACAGAGCAAACACCTTAATACAGTGGGGTGTGGTTTTGCTTATCTGCAGAGTAGAGATGGGGGTAAGGGTTAAGGGGAGCAGTGTCAGAGCGGATTGACACAGGTGTTTTCTGTGTACTGATTGCCTCTTTGTCTCTAAAAGTTTCAGTGAAGCGTGTATCAAGGCTTGTGTTGGTGACGTGTGTGATGATGTTTGTAGCCTTGTGATCCGGCCACACCACGCAACTGATTCAAGAAACGGTTTGCGGGTTTGGCAGACCACCACCACCACAATCCATAGACTTGAGACTTGTTGAAAAGTTTTTTTAAATAAGAATAAAGTAAATGTTTATGTCCTCTTCTGTGTAACAGAAGCACAGACACAAACGAACACAAGCACATTCACATCACAACTCTCTCTATAATTTATGTCCTCTTCTTTTTTACCCTGCTACTGTGTTGTAAAGACGGACACCATACTAATAACTTCATTTTTTTATTGTATCATAAACTTGACATTCATTAAATTCAAAGCTTTGCGCACCATAGCCACGGGGTGTCTTTTGATAATCACTCTGCCTGTTTTACATTTATTGTCCACTCGATGGCACAGTAGAGCAAATGAAGCACAACAATGAAGCTTCGGCCCAGGAGTTGAGCAACTGGATGGAAAACTTCTTCAGTGATTCACGAGGCTTCATCTCACCATCACTACTATTAACTACTATCAACACACTTAATAAAAAAGGAACATCTGCCTTATGCTGACATGGTGTCAGTAAGAATGCAGTACAGGGGAATAGGTTAAAATAATAAGTAAAGGGAAAAAGAGAAAGTTAGAAAAGATAGCTACACTCTTTAATTGCCACATGCTTCCTGTGTTAAAGTTTTTTTCTGCAGTTACCTCAACTAAGGCAAAGTACAGGTCAAAGATGAACATTTAGGATGAACTTAGAGAGGCAGCTGCACCCCAGACTTAAGCAGATCTGTAACACAAAACAAAGCCCACACTAATAATTAAAACCTATTGCAGGACTGAAAGTATAAATATTAAAAGCAGATTTTCATTTTAAAGAGTTGTAGTCAAGGAATTAATGAGTCAAAAACTTAGTTTAAAGTTTTGTTAAAGCTGTGACATTTTAAAATTTGAGTGTTTTTATTTTTCAGTCTAGGGATATAGTATGTTCTTATGTCTGTATTTAGTCAGGGTTAGGGGGGCTTGATAATATTTCCATCTGCCAGATGGGGGCACTAGCAGAAAAAGTTTGGGAACCACTGTCTTAAACACAGACATACAAGAGTTGCCCAATTTTAATATTTACAAGTAAACACTTTCATATGTATGTATGTACAAACACCTTTTAAAAAGTTTAATTTTTATTTACACAGAACACAAAACAATAATTATAGAATAGTTGACTACTTCTTTCATCCACCTATCTTTGTCTCTCTGCATCGTACAGAGGAGACCCACAATACTCCTTCCAGCTCATCTCTCTGACATCCCCTTACGGCGGTACAAAGAGTACACTTCAGAAGGGCAGTAAAAATATTTTCCTGTCACTCCTGGGAAGCCAACATGGATGTGAGGACTGTTCGGCCCCTGTTTCAGTCCCAGATGACAAAATCTACAGAGGCGGCCAGCCTGATGGGTGTCTGGCTGTTTCCTTTTTTTTCCCACCTTATAATAAGTATATATAATAGTATATATAATATATTATTGAATCTGGCTCAACATTTAACAACAACTATAGTAACAACAACAAATTATTCTTGTATTCATATTTACATATATACAGACATATTTTCAAGAATAATTTTTCATTTACACATAAACACATATATACATTTTATACATATATACAAATATGAAAACAAACTATGTCCTTTCATCCATCCATCTTTGTTTCTCCATCTCATAGAAAGGAGACCCACAAAACTCCTTCCAGCTCAGCTCTCTGGTCATTCCCTTGCTGCGATACAGAGACAGCACCTTCGAAGGGCAGTAAATATATTTCCCTGCCACTCCCGGGAAGCCAGTATGGATATGTGGACTGTTCGGCCCCTGTTTCAGTCCCCGGTGACAGAACCGACAGAGGCAGCCATCTTGATGTGTGTCTGTCTGTTTCCTTTTTTTTCCCACTTTCTCCTCCACCCGTTTTTTTTTTGTTTTGTTTTGTTGTTTCCTCCAGCTCCCTCTGGAAAAACTCCGTCTGCGCAAACTGCTCGAAGGGCATCTTGGCATCCGAAAGTCCCTCAGCCGCATAAATTTGATGCACTTTCTCGGTGCAGTAGAAGTAGTGGACAGGCCCCTACTGGTAAAAAAAAAAAGTGGACTGAGGATCCATCGGTCTCGTATCGAGACTTGGGCTGTCCACAAGCGAGACAAGTCTTGGTCTGCCTTCTCCTCTGCTCTGGCTGGGGCTGCTGTTGCTGTTGCTGCTGTTTTTCCAAGATGCCCTCCACAATTTTCTCGAGGGAGTCTTGGGTTAGAGGTGTGGGCAGGGCAGGTGTAGGGGGCTTGACAACAGCTGCCTCCATGGTGACCACAGGAACACTAGACGTGACACTCCCCTCTGTTAAAGAGTGCCACAGCTGTTGGGTGTCCAAACGTTTCTCCTGGCTAGTGTCCAAGGAGGAGCTGGTGTTAAGGAGCTTTCCCAAGTGCTCCACATCACGTGAAATGTGAAGCTTGGTGGTGAGGTGCAGCAAGCTGTTTGGATCTGTGGCTGACTGATGGACTATGTCAGCATAATCCTGATCCACAAGCTTCAGGCTGTCCTTCTGGCCGTTGTGCTTCTGCAGCAGTTTATCGATTGCCACCTTCATGGGCGCTGTCCAGCGTGTGTGGTCCAACACAAAAACTCTGCCTCCAGTTTTTATGGGACCAGTGCGGGCACTTCGTGGGGAGGCACTCACAGGCAGGGGGAGGGCATGTGAGATTTCTGGAACACATAAAGCAATAAAAGTTCCTCAGTTAATCATGTTATTTCAGTACAATATGATGACAAGCAACTGTAATGTCTCTCTAAAAGCCTGGCTCCCTGTATTGAAGGCCGAACCTCTCTCCAGTGTCCCTGTCAGAGAGGAGAAATGCAGGATACCTCTCCTGCCCTGCCACTCTCATGGACGCAGTGTTTAGCTCGTACATCAGAGCTGGGTCAAAGACAGCGGGGAGGATGACACCTGGCTGTTTAAGATCCACCAGCCGCTGGTCATTCCACCGGGCTACCCCTGTCATGCCCTGGGCCTGGAACAATTCAGGGGAGACATGAGTGCCAGTGACCCATTGAGCCTGGTGGAAATGGTACCCCTCTTGTTGTGATGTGCCTCTGACAGGGATCCAGATTGGGACTTTGGCACCTTCACCAGGTATGTGGTTCAGCTGAAGAGTGCCTCCGTACCTGTACATTATGCCCTCAGAGAGTTCAGGGTCACTGAGGCACCCACAGAGAATGTGGACTCTCTGGATCCACCACGTCTTCAGCATGGATGGCTTGAAGAGTGGGATGCTGCTAGGGTCCATCGCCAGGTGGAAGTAACTCAGGACCCTCTCCACTCTGTCCAGCAGCTCTGTTGGTCTGGGTATTTTAATCCTGCAGTGCTCCTATATGTGCTGTTTTGTGAGATTGGCTGGATGAATACCGCAGAACCTGTAGGCATCCTGAAGCTTTTTTAGGTCTTCCTGATCCACAACAGAGAACTTTCTTCAAAATGTCCAAATAAAAGCCCAAAGGCAAAGTCCAAGAAAAGGTACTGGGGAAAAAAACACAAGGAAACTAGGGATGCAACACTGACTATGAAAGACACTCACTGACCGCCAAACCCGCACACACAATGACATACAATGAACCAACCAAGACAGAGGGGAAGACAGGGACTGTATTCACACACAGGGAAACGAGCAACAGATGAGGAAGACGAGGCACAGGTGAAACTCATGGGTGATTAACAAAAGGAGGGAAAACTAGGGAAGTAAAACCAGACCAGAAACTAGATGCAACAACTGGTTATAAACAGAAAATGAGAAATAACAGATGTCAGATACAACACAGAGTTTGCCCCCGTCAGTTTTGGCAGTCAGTCAGCGTGATACAAGTGCACTTACAGGTCCGCACGTGTGGTTTGAAAGGTTTTTATGCTCATCATGGCACTCTCCAGCTCTTCATCCTCATCCATCGCTGTGATCCAAACAAATATTACAGGATAGGTTTAAAGTATTCGTTACATGTCATCAGATATGGCAAATAAAAATGTATAATAACTCATTTACCCATGGGTTTGGAGACACTTGAGGCCTGTTCCTCAGGTGGGGAAGCTGAGGTCAATCGCTGCCTCTTATGCAGGTACTGCTGCAGCTTGAACATGCATGTACCTGGGACGCAGATCTTCCCCAATAAGAAGGCCGCATAGCACATCAGTTCTGCTGTCCCAAATCACCTTCCAGGTACTCTTAGCAGGAGTGCCGAAGCCAACCAGCTGGTCATCTTCTGATGAGGCTGCCATAACACCCACTCCACTTGCTTCATAGGTGCGGAGAGACTGGATCTCAGCAAAACCAAGGGCATAATTGACGAAGGACTGCAGGCTGTCCTTGGCATGTCTTTTTAATAAGGTACATTGTGTACCCGATGTCATTCTCCAGAAGCCATCAGAAAGATTTTCCTTTGTACTTGCCAAACTGCAGGATGTAGTCCCCCAGCACCTCTGTACGATCTGAGGCGTCCCCTTCTCTCTGACGGACCACAGCCAGGGCATACTGGTGTACAAGGTCAGCCCGTGTGGGTGCAGACTTGTCCTGCAGAGTGGCGTCCTCTTTTTATCCTCCTGGCTTCCTTAGACGGCTCCAGGAGGAGAAATCCAAGTGGTCTCTTGCGGAACACAACACAGATTTTCCCCGGGAAGTACGTCATTTTCTTCTGCATCTTTCTGTAATATGAGAAAAAATTGAAGTTTCAGGTTTATTTTAATCAGATACTTTAAGAAGCTATTTGTGAAAAAAATACTAGAATATTTCAGATCACGTTTTCATCCCACTTAAATAGAATCGGCCAATTAAATATTTTACAGCTGTAAAACTTCTATAATCTTCAGTAAAAAGTTAAGGAAACTGTGTGTGCCTAATCAACAACGTTTAAGTGTATGGCTTTGGAGAGGGGCAAATGGGGCAGGAGAGGAGTTTCTATGACATAACTCACAAACAAAATGACATTTGATAACGTAGTCAAGACTTAATTTTACTCTGAAAGCTAGTAAAACACCCATAGTCCCGGCAAAAGTTAACTTTATGTGACCATAAAGTAGATAACATTTGTTAAAACTAGGGCCCGACTGATTTATCGGCGAGCTGATTAAATCGGCCAATTGTAGCCCGTTTGAGACCAATCGGTAATTGGCCAAAACTGGCCGATTTTCGCCGAAATTTTAGAAATAAAATGCAGAGAATAAGATTCGGTTTCACTGAGAAGGGTGTCTCTGCAGAGCCGGAGAGCCCTGCAGCTGCAGTTCTACGTGTGTAAAACTGCAGGAGGCGGAGTCTCAAAATCATGTAACCGCCCCCTTTTTTTCTCCTCTTCGTTTTCGTGTTCTTTGGAGAAGAGTTGTCAATAGCATGCAATGGTCTGTAGCGGAGTTTGTTGATCGAACCGTGAGTATTAAATGCGAATCCCACAATTTATTTAGCTTCTCCAAAATCGCTCACTTGATTTGAATGAGAAATGAATGTGTGGTTGTGCGGACGTTAATGATATTTACCATGATAGTCTGGAAGACACGTCGAATATTTATCTTGGTTAAGCCAGCTAAAGCTATTGTTAGCTTGTCGGAATTGTATAACCCGTAGACGACAAGCCGCCATTATATTTACTGAGACTGAAGTACGCTGACAAATAATTTTGTCATGTGTAACAGATTGAACATGAATGTATAAACAGTTCAGGCTTTCTGGACCGAGATGTCCCATACATGTTGGAAATGTCTTTTGAACGTATGCATTTTTTCATATATTATATCAGGTATTTCTTAGTATATCATTTATTTATTTAATTAATTATTTTCAATTGTATTCACAATCTGGGCTTTAAATATCTAAGTCAAATGTCAAACATTTTATTTCTATCATGTATCTTTCTTTCAGGACTCATCCATCCTGATAATTCACATGAGGCTGCACAAGTCCTGCAACAAAATCCTCAATTTGTTAATAAAAAAATATGTTTACTACAAGATGTGTTGTTTGTTTCTGAAGTGATTATGGTATGTTTTTGACCAATTTTACAAGGTTTAGCATGTTTCTATGATATTAGGATAACATCATGACTCCATTTAATGCTATAGAAAGATAATTAACTACTCTAATAATGAGAGAAAAGAACTTGCCCCCATCAAGGGACTTCAAACCTGCATTCCATATGAATTTAGACTCTTGTGATGGTTGTCTCCCATTTCCTGATGCTGCCTTTCAGACATGGCTCCATCTTCCTCCTGTTTCTCCCAACAACCACTCAAGTCACAAAGAACTGCTCTTTACCTTAAGATTAAAACACTTAGCCACTTTGACAAAAAGCTAATTCTTGGTGGCTTTATGATCAAAGGCTTCTCCGTGGCGACAGCCTTTTTGCACAGCTTTGTTCTTGATAGAAGACATTTTTTTGTAGACGTTAAGAGCCAATCATATTTTTTTGTTGATCACTACAAAGAATTACCTGGAATGACAATACTATGAATTTCTCACTCAAAGGGGTCAAATTGTCATCAAATGTAATGAATAAATAATAAAAAGGCAAAGCCGGTCCCTACAGGGCTTCAAGCACTGCACAGCTTGCTTTGGCTCGGGCATTTAAAACACTGGGTCCAGAAATAAATATTTTTTTTTTACATTGAAATTAGATTACTCCTAACTGTTTTGGATGGAATAAACCTAAATTCTACAAGGTGTTTTGGGTTAACCAAACCTTAAATATTGACTGTCAGCTCATATTCCGTTTTTTTTCTTTTCTTTTTTTTCAGCAAAATAACACATTTTATCCATGTAAAGAAGTCCAATTACTGAACTGCAGCACCTGCATTAGCACTGACCTACCAGCATGGGGCGCTATCACGTGTAGAACTGCAGCATCTGCATTAGCACTGACCTACCAGCAGGGGCGCTAACACGTGTAGAACTGCAGCGTGTAAAACTGCAGCTGCAGGGCTCTCCGGCTCTGCAGACACATACTATTGGTTTCACTTCAAAAATGTTCCGCCATTTGAAAAGTTCCCTGATTTATCCTGTAGATGGCGCAGCGACCTCACGACAATCTTCACCCACTAACTACCTCCGTGAAGCACCGTGTAATATGCAAGCTAAAGTTAGAGTTAGCCACCTGCTATTAGCCTTGCTACACTGTTAGCCGTGCCAGTAACGGTAGAATAAACAACAGTACACATTGCGTGATCGAGCTACCTCACTTACTGAGGCAGCTGCATGTCTCCAGATGAGACCGGACCGGAAATGTGTAACGTGAGTTAAGACGCGGAGGCACCGATCAGCGCTGGGGGGGGGACTTGAAAACGCTTTTAAGGTCCGAGTTTGATCGGCTGATTAATCAGTAATCCGACCCCCCCCAAACAATCGGTATCGGCATCGGCCCCAAAAAAATCCTATGGGTCGGGCCGTGGTTAAATGTTCTTGGTATGGAATAGACTGCAAAGTTATGTATTATATATCCACTACAATAATTTTATCTGTGATTTAGCGCTTAATTTCCCCCTTAGGCAGATCTGATACACGAGTTTTGGTAACATTTAGCGTAGCGTCTGACAGAAAAAAGCACACACATCTTGTCCTGATAAATGTTTACTTTATTTGACCATTAAGCAGATGACATTTTTCAAAACATCGGTATTAAATGCTTTTGGTTTGGTTGGTTTGGTTAATTTCACCGCTGGCAGATCTGATCTCTCATCGAGCGGGCGATTCTTATTGACACAAAATCAGTTTCTGTAACATTTGCGTTAATAAACATGGAAACTGAACAAAAATACCAAAAACTATGTAAAAATTACCATATTCATTTAAAATTCACAGCGGTATCAAACCGGTCGGACAGAAAAAGGCGCGCAAATCTTGTCACATCAAGCTAGTACCGACATAACCTGACAGTACTACTGCACTGTTACTGTACATATGTGAACTACCTGCTTCAAACCACGAGTTATAAGTCCATAAATTGATCCTGCAGTTTTACATTTTAATGCCAAACAAATTCTCTTACCTTCAATAGATAGTGATGAGATGACAATTCAGAGAGAGACGTAGACAGAGTGTTGCCTCCAGCTAAGTGCATTTCGAATGAATAAGATTCAGGCGCTGCACAAATTGAGGAGCAGAGCTCGGGACAGCGCCACTAAGTTGTAGTGGCCAAAAGTTGATTGCATCCGTAGTGGTTTAGCACTACCATAGAGAATGAATGGGAAACGGTTTGGGGCCGTTTAGCTAAACAATTCGAGGTGCCATCGCAGGGGCCGGTTGCGAATAGCTGTAACAGAAAAACAGCCAATAGGATTATAATATATATAATATAATAAAATAAAATATATAATACAGTAAAATTATTCTTATTATATCTAGATAATATATACTTTTTTTCTACCAATGAAAGAAACACTTATAAACTACTATAAACAAATTGACAAGAAAGTTACAATATTCAGTTATATAATAAATAGTAGTCAGTAACACAATAAAATATATAATATAATAAAATATATAATAGAATATGTAATACAATAAAGTTATTCTTATAATAATAGTAACAGATAATATTTACATTTTTTTCATCATCTGCCAATGACAGAAACACCTATGAACTACTATACACAAATTGACAAGCAAGTTATAATATTCAGTACCATCATAAATAATATTCCTTACTATAATAAAAAATATAATAAGTATATATAATAGTATATATAATATATTATTGAATCTGGCTCAACATTTAACAACAACTGTAGTAACAACAACAAATTATTCTTGTATTCATATTTACATATATACAGACATATTTTCAAGAATAATTTTTTCATTTACACATAAACACATATATACATTTATACATATATACAAATATGGAAACAAACTATGTCCTTTCATCCATCCATCTTTGTTTCTCCATCTAATAGAAAGGAGACCCACAAAACTCCTTCCAGCTCAGCTCTCCGGTCATTCCCTTGCTGCGATATAGAGACAGCACCTTCGAAGGGCAGTAAATATATTTCCCTGCCACTCCCGGGAAGCCAGTATGTACATGAGGACTGTTTGGCCCCTGTTTCAGTCCCTGCTGACAGAACCGACAGAGGTGGCCAGCTTGATGTGCGTCTGGCTGTTTCCTTTTTTTCTCCTCCATCCGTTTTTTTGTTTCCTCCAGCTCCCTATGGAAAAACTCTGTCTGCGCAAACTGCTCGAAGGGCATCTTGGCATCTGAAAGCCCCTCAGCAGCATAGCTTTGATGCACTTTCTTTGAGCAGTAGAAGTAGCGGACGGGCCCCTGCTGGTAAAAAAAGCGGACCGAGGATCCATCGGTCTCGTATCGAGACTTGGGCTGTCCACAAGCGAGACAAGTCTTTGTCTGCCTTTTCTTTTGCTCTGGCTGGGGCTGTTGTTGCTGATGCTGCTGCTGTTTTTCCAAGATGCCCTCCACAATTTTCTCCAGGGAGTCTTGGGTCAGAGGTGTGGGCAGGGCAGGTGTAGGGGGCCTGACAATAGCTGCCTCCATGGTGACCACAGGAACACTAGACGTGACACTCCCCTCTGTTAAAGAGTGCCACAGCTACTGGGTTTCCTCAAGTTTTTCCGGGCTAGTGTTCAAGGAGGAGCTGGTGTTCAGGAGCTTTGCCAGGTGCCTCACATATCTAGATATGTGGAGCTTGGTGGTGGGGTGCAGCAAGCTGTTTGGATCCGTGGCTGACTGATGGACCATCTCAGCATAATCCTGATCCACAAGCTTCAGGCTGTCCTTCCGGCCGTGGTGCTTCTGCAGCAGTTTATCAATTGCCACCTTCATGGGCGCTGTCCAGCGTGTGTGGTCCAACACAAAAACTCTGCCTCCAGTTTTTATGGGACCAGTGCGGGCACTTCGTGGGGAGGCACTCACAGGCAGGGGGAGGGCATGTGAGATTTCTGGAACACATAAAGCAATAATAGTTTTTCAGTTAATCATGTTATTTTAGTACAATATTATTACAAGAAACTGTAATGTCTTAATTTCCTGCAGAGATAAATAAATTATTTCTGATTCTGGCTTACCCCTTGCTGCTGAAGGACCCTGAACTTCTTCAGGTGGCATCTCCTGCTTTGGTAGAGCACCAGCAGAGACTGGAGGGCGAATGGATGGTGCCGGTTCAGAGAATGGCACATCGGGAGCTTGTTCCTCAGCAGGAGCAGCAGGTGTATGCAGGGGAGGCGGCGGCGGCATCTGAGCAGCAGGCTGATCCCTCTTGAGCGTCCTGTGCTTGTCCCAGTCCAGTGGGACAGGACGGCAGCCTGGCTCTCTGTACTGGAGGCCGAACCTCTCTCCAGTGTCCCTGTCAGAGAGGAGAAATGCCGGATACTTCTCCTGCCCTGTCACTCGCATGGACGCAGCATTCAGCTCGCACATCAGAGCTGGGTCAAAGACAGCGGGGAGGATGACACCTGGCTGTTTAAGATCCACCAGCCGCTGGTAGTTCCACCGGGCTACCCTGTCATGCCCTGGGCCTGGAACAATTCAGGGGAGACGTTCGTGCCAGTGACCCATTGAGCCTGGTGGAAATGGTACCCCTCTTGCTGTGATGTGCCTCTGACAGGGATCCAGATAGGGACTTTGGCACCTTCACCAGGTACGTGGTTCAGCTGAAGAGTGCCTCCGTACCTATACATTATGCCCTCCGAGAGTTCAGGGTCACTGAGGCACCCACGGAGAATGTGGACTCTCTGGATCCGCCACGTCTTCAGCATGGATGCCTTGAAGAGTGGGACGTTGTTAGGGTCCGTCGCCAGGTGGAAGTGACTCAGGACCCTCTCCACTCTGTCCAGCAGCTCTGTTGGTCTGGGTATTTTAATCCTGCAGTGCTCCCGTATGTGCTGTTTCGTGGGATTTGCAGGATGAATACCGCAGAACCTGTAGGCATCCTGAAGCTTTTTTAAGTCTTCCTGATCCACAACAGAGAAGGCAGCGGAGAGCAGCTGGCAGAAGGTGCTGTACAGAGGGTGATGCTCAGAGGTGCACTCCCTGGAAAAGCGCCTCAGGCAGTGAAACAAGTCCAGTTTCACAACAATGCCAGCATTGTAATGTGAACGTGACGCACAGGTGTTCACAAGACTTCCAGAGGTCGCTCCAGCAATAATGGATGGGGTGGTCTTCCAGGCATCCCAGTCCAGATGCTCAACAGGGGTGCTGTCAGCTATTTTAAACGCAGCACAGCAGTCCCTAATGTTAGGCACAAAGACACAGAAGGACTAAAAATTAAAACTAGACACTAAATTGAATCAAAAATAAATGAATGATTTTTTTTAATGACAGAAAACGTTGTTAGTTTGAATGAAACTGAAAACAGCTGATGGCTCTGCTCACCTGTCCACCCAGTGGTAGCCTGCCTTTTCCACTCCGGCGTCGCTGTACCTCTTCGCCATCCCCTCGTACATTGGCTCCAGGGACCTCTCACTTTCAGACTGAACCATCACCCAGGAGACAATGAGCCAGTGTTCGTTCATCACGGGATAACTGGACATGACTCCTGAGGCTAAGGTCACCTTCCTTGCCACTCTTCTGGTGTGGTCAGACCTGAAAACACGCCCAAATGTTCCCTGAAGAAGCCTGGACAATGCTGGCTCCTGGCATTTGAACTCCTCCAGCAGTCAGTCAGGTAGAACCCGGACACAGAGACTCCACCCCAGCCATCTTGCTCGTCGTATGGCCCAAAATCGCGTGGCTGGTTGTCCTTCCTCAGGAACTGTCCAATGGTTCTCTGACCGTGCACTCCAGCCTCAGCATCTCTCAGACTCTCGATGGCTTGAAGGTATGCCAGGTGAGCTCGCTCATACTTGAGGTGCATGAGCTCATTCACCTGGTTGGCCATGTCTGTTGGTGACTTCCCGGTGCGTCTCAGCTCATCCATGACAGACTTACAGATGGCTTTCTTGTATGTCAGGAATGCAGGCAGAAGGTTGGTGAAGCGCCTGGGAAGTTTGTCAAGCCATCGTGGACTGTCGGCGAACCAGGTCTTTCGACAGGCCTTGCAGCAGAGTCGAGAGGAGAAGATAAAATATTGCCCGCTGGTGCCAACAACAACTCGAGGCCTGCCCACTCCTGCAGAGACCACCTGAGGATGAGGACAGCCGTGGAGACAGGGCAGGATATAATTGTTTCTCAGCCTGACCATGATGTGACTCTCAGGTTTCCAAATAAAAAATGGGTGGAGCTGGAAGAAATTGGGGGACGGGAGCTCAGCTACTGAATCCAACAGTTCAGGTTGTGTAGGAAGACGCCACAATGAAACTGCGTTCCCTGGGTTACGCACTGGGCGAGACCCAGGCCACAGCCCAAGATCCTGGAGCTCTGTCCTCATCCAGAGCTTTTGGTGATGAGAACAGCTCCAGCTGCTCATATCATGATCATGTGCAGGCACAGGAGCAGGGGCAGGGGCAGGAGCAGGAGCAGGAACGGGAACAAGAGCAGGGGGCTGAGCTGAGGAAACTAGGAAAAAAATAAGACAATAGAACACAAGTGATTATTTTGGTACAGATAATTATTAAAGGTTGCATGGTTTAAAGCAAAATCAACACAGCATGTTAGTATCAGGAGTCAGAAAAATTGAGGGAATGTTTACATTCTCTACATTCTTACCATCTCCAGCAGTGGCTTCAGGTTTGACTCCACTTTGTGCTGAGGTGCAAGCAGCACTTGTGCTAGGTTCTGAAAAGAGAAAGCAGTCTTTCTGTCATGCACTTGTACAGGCTGTATTTATAAAGACATGATGATGAAATATAAAGATATTGTGAGGATTCTACTCAGTTAAGTCAGCTGTGCATTAAGCAGATGTGAACATCAGTCCTACACTAGAATAGAAACATCCTGTACCTTGAGTTGACTCAAGACTCCCAGGTGGTGAGGGACCAGTAGTCTCCTTGATCAGGAAAGCCAGCTCTGGTGGAAGGGGCACGGATCTCTTCCTTTTCACACCGGACGAGGTTGATGCAGCTGCAGGAAAGTGAATAAGCTCATCATTAATTTCGTGAAATTGCAATAAACACAACTGATTACGTTATGTGATAATTTTACACTTCATAACGTTAATATCATTATCCCTCTTACCCGACATCAATCTGTTCTCTTGTAGTATGTAGGCTTGTATATAAACAATATAGTGTAATGGAGCAGAGTTCCTTGTATGTGTAAGGAAAACTAGCTACTTCAGCGAGTATAGATTCTATTTCTGATACAGCAACGGTATTACAATATTTTTACCTTCATCCTGTGAGGCCTGCAGTTCAGAAGCAGTGGTCAGCAGAGGTTTGGACAGCGTTGCAGATGGAACTAGAAGAGACAAAATAATCAATCATTTCAAAATTCACAAAATATTCAGATGTTTTGGTTAGTAGGAAATTAATCAGTCAAGCTTACTTCTCCTGCTTCTCAAAATTTGTGTTGTTAAATTGTTATAGACACACCAAACAAACTTAAAGTACTAATCACGACTCTCTAGTCTAAGCAGGAGGAGCATTATGACTTAATGAACACGCATGCATTTAAGTACTAGTTCATATGTTTCTCTTTTAATGCAACATGCATAGAAAAGAAATTGCTTACTTACCCTCACGGCGTTTGCCATCAATTCATCATGGCAGTGATCAATTCATAGTCCTTAGGACAGTTTTTTATAACACCAGCTAACAGTATTATTAAAGGAACACGGCCAGAACATGGCCAGAACACAAAGAACACAAAGAACACAAAGAACACAAAGAAATAGTTAAAGTTGAGGTTCAGTTTTGAGAGACAAGTCATCATGAATATGAACTGTACTCCTGAAACCCGTTGTTTAAAAACCTGTCTTTGCTCCTGGGGACACTCCTGGGGACACTCCTGGGAACACTCCTGGTATGGCAGCTGCTGGTGTGGATGCTGCTGGCGCAACAACTGGTTATGAACAGAAAATGGGAAATAACAGATGTCAGATACAACACAGAGTTTGCCACCGTCAGTTTTGACAATTAGTCAGTGTGATAAAAGTGCACTTACAGGTCCGCACGTGTGGTTTGGAGGATTTCATGGTCATCATGGCACTCTCCAGCTCTTCATCCTCGTCCATCGCTGTGGTCCAAACAAATATTACAGGGTACAAAAAAGAATAAGTTCACCCAAATTAGGATAGGTTTAAAGTATAAGTCACATGTCATCAGATGTGGCAAATAACAATATATAATAACTAATTTACCCATGGGTTTGGAGACACTTGAGGGATGTTCCTCGGGTGGGGAAGCTGAGGCCGATTGCTGCCTCTTCTGCAGGTACTGCTGCAGCTTAAACATGCGCGTACCTGGGACGCAGACCTTCCCCAAAACGAAGGCCGCATAGCCATCAGCTCTGCTGTCCCAAATCTCCTTCCAGGTACTTTTCCCACGAGTGCCAAAGCCAACCAGCTGGTCATCTTCCGATGAAGCTGCCAGAACACCCACTCCACTTGCCTCATAGGTTCGGAGAGACTGGATCTCATCAAAACCGAGGGCGTAATTGACGAATGACTGCAGGCTGTCCTTGGCATGTCCAGCAGTCACGGTGACGCCTGATGCCTCCTCCTTCTCCAGGTTTTTAATCAGGTACATTGTGTATCCGATGTCGTTCTCCAGAAGCCACCGGAAAGATTTCCCTTTGTATTTGCCAAACTGCAGGATGTAGTCCCCCAGCACCTCTGCAAGATCTGAGGCGTCCCCTCCTCTCTGACGGACCACAGCCAGGGCATTCTGGTGTACAAGGTCAGCCCGTGTGGGTGCAGACTTGTCCTGCAGAGTGGCGTCCTCCTTGATTCTCCTGGCTTCCTTTGACGGCTCCTGGAGGAGAAATCCGAGTGGTCCCTTGCGGAACACAACGCAGATTTTCCCCGGGAAGAAAGTCATTTTCTTCTGCATCTTTCTGTAATATGAGAAAAAAATAGAAGTTTAAGGTTTATTTTAATCAGATACTTTAAGAGGATATTTGTAAAATACGTTTAACAAATTTCACAAGAATATTTCAGATCACATGTTATCATCCTGCTTAAATAGAATCAGCCAATTTAACATCTAACAGCTTTAAAACTTCTATGATCTTCAGTAAAAAGTTCAGAAGGTCAAGAAGACAATAGCTTTTCACACCTTTTTGATCTTCACCTGATCTAAGATCTAAGGGGGAGGAAGTGTGGACATCAGAGAGTCTGTCTGAGAACTTCAGGGGGTGTGCGTGTGGGTGTGGGTGTGGGTGTGTGTGTGTGTGTGTGTGTGTGTGTGGGGGGGGGGGGGGGGTGCACAGCATGTGTGCAGAACACTAGAGGAGGGAGTGAGAGGGGCAGTAGTTGTGGGAAAAAAAATATGTGTGCCTAATCAGCAACGTTTAAGTGTATGAGTTTAGAGAGGGGCAAATGGGGTAGGAGAGGAGACCCAAACTATGAAAAATTAGGATATTCATTCAAAATTTACCGCGGTATACACAAAACTTGTCTGACAGAAAAGGCGCTCAAATCTTGTCACATCAAGCTAGTACCGACATAACCCGACAGTACTACTGCACTGTTACTGTACATATACGAACTACCTGCTTACTTCATGTGACCATTAAGCAGATAACATTTGTTAAAACATCAGTATCAAATGCTTTAGGTTTGAAGCATACTGTAAAATTATGTATTTGTTATATTCATTTGAATCACTCTCTCTATGATTTAGCGCTAAATTTCACCGCGGGCAGATCTGATGTCTCACCGAGCGGGCGATTCTTATTAATTACACAAAATCAGTTTCAGTAACTTTTAGCGTTAATGAACACGGAAACTGGAAAAGAAATACCCAAAACTATGAATAAAATATCATATTCATTCAAAATTCACCGCGGTATACACCAAAACTTGTCTGACAGAAAATGCGCTCAGATTTTGTCACATCAAGCTAGTACCGGCATAACCCGACAGTACTACTGCACCGTTACTGTACATATACATATACGAACTACCTGCTTCAAACCACGGGTGATTAGTCCGTAAATTGATCCTATAGTTTTACATTTTAATGCCAAATAAATTCTCTTACCTTCAATAGACAGTGATGAGATCACAATTCGGAGAGAGTTGTAGACGGTGTGTTGCCTCCAGCAAAGTGCCCTCCGAATGAAGGATTGCCAGGCTCTACACAACTTTAAGAGAGGAGGTCGGGACAGCGCCACAAAAAAATACCAGTGGCCAAAAGTATATTACATCTGTAGTGGTTTAGCACTACCATAGAGAATGAATGGGAAACGGTTTAGGGCCGTTTAGCTAAACAATTCTCGCTGCTCGCGCGGGAGGCCTGGGTTCGATTCCCATTGGCAAAGTGTTGCTCAAAGATAAAGAGGTTGACGCTCAACCACAGTACGTGGCCACACATAAAGTAGCATGGCCAGAGCCCAGTGTGAACCGGCAGAGTGAGCAGACTGCACTTTTGACTGGATGGCCACATTGGACCAAAGGTTACAAGACAACCAAAGGGACACCAGTCGCCCCTGAAGCGGAAGGCAAAAGCATCTGCAAGAGGTTGGGGATAGTGCAGAGATGTTTTTTTCTCCCATAACCAGTACGGTGAAACTCATGCTGGCGCTGTTGCGCCGCGACGCCCCGCCAGGGAGCAGCACCAGGAGCATTGGTGGTTCAGTGGTAGAACTCTCGCCTGCCACGCGGGGGCGGGTTGCGAATAGCTGTAACGGAGAAACAGCCAATAGGATTAAAGTTTGTTTTTTTTTTAATTCAAGGGGTCTGAATTCGGGTTCGAATCCCCACTCAGACATCTGAGATAAAATGAGATTTACAAAACAAGAACTTTACTCATCCCCAGAGGGGAATTAATTGTCCCGAATCTCATGAAAGAATTTCCCTCTGGGATTAAGTATCTATCTATCTATCTATCTATCTATCTATCTATCTATCTATCTATCTATCTATCTAATCTTTCTATCTTTCTATCTATCTATCTATCTATCTAATCTTTCTATCTATCTATCTATCTATCTATCTATCTATCTATCTAATCTTTCTATCTTTCTATCTATCTAATCTTATCTAATCTAATCTATCTAATGAACAGCACAACTTCTCCTGGACAGTTCTGTGTAAAGACTTACACCATCTCTGGTTCCTTTCTTCTTGCCACTTGTTTCAGCATCTTTCTCTGACCTTATGACAGTAAAGCCAGTAGATCCCCACTGGAGTCTGAGTTGTTTTGATTCAACCAGGTTTCAGTAACACTTAGGAGACTGCACTTACAGTATGCTCTTGTAGAAGTACCTGAAGTTCATGGTAGCTTTCTTTGTTTCATTCACGCATGAAATCAAGTACACCTTCTAAAAAGTAATAATGAGAGTTTGAGACCACATTAAAATGTCTATGCTGGTGAACCAGAAACAGTAAATCTTGGCATCATATTATTTTGATTCCAAGCTGTAAAAAAAAGACGTAGATTTCAATTTTGAACATGTAAAAAGTTTAATTGACAAGCAAGTTATAATACTCAGGAATATAATAAAATGTATAATATATATATAATATAATAACATAAAATATATAATACAATATATAATACCATAAAATTATTCTTATTATATCTAGATAATATATACTTTTTTTTCTACCAATGAAAGAAACACTTATAAACTACTATAAACAAATTGACAAGAAAGTTACAATATTCAGTAATATAATAAATAATATTCAGTAACACAATATAATATATATAATATAATAAAATATATAATAGAATATGTAATACAATAAAGTTATTCTTATTCTTATAATAATAGTAATAGATAATATTTACATTTTTTTCATCATCTGCCAATGACAGAAACACCTATGAACTACTATAAACAAATTGACAAGCAAGTTATAATATTCAGTACCATCATAAATAATATTCCTTACTATGATAAAAAATATAAAATATAAAAAGTATGTATAATAGTATACATAATATATGATTGAATCTGGCTCAACATTTAACAACAACTATAGTAACAACAACAAATTATTCATATTTACATATATACAGACATATTTTCAAGAATAATTTTTTCATTTACACATAAACACATATATACATTTATACATATATACAAATATGGAAACAAACTATGTCCTTTCATCCATCTATCTTTGTTTCTCCATCTCATAGAAAGGAGACCCACAAAACTCCTTCCAGCTCAGCTCCCTGGTCATTCCCTTGCTGCGATATAGAGACAGCACCTTCGAAGGGCAGTAAATATATTTCCCTGCCACTCCCGGGAAGCCAGTATGTACATGAGGACTGTTTGGCCCCTGTTTCAGTCCCTGCTGACAGAACCGACAGAGGCGGCCAGCTTGATGTGCGTCTGGCTGTTTCCTTTTTTTCTCCTCCACCTGTTTTTTTGTTTCCTTCAGCTCCCTCTGGAAAAACTCCATCTGCGCAAACTGCTCGAAGGGCATCTTGGCATCTGAAAGCCCCTCAGCAGCATAGCTTTGATGCACTTTCTTTGAGCAGTAGAAGTAGCGGACGGGCCCCTGCTGGAAAAAAAAGTGGACCGAGGATCCATCGGTCTCGTATCGAGACTTGGGCTGTCCGCAAGCGAGACAAGTCTTTGTCTGCCTTTTCTTTTGCTCTGGCTGGGGCTGTTGTTGCTGATGCTGCTGCTGTTTTTCCAAGATGCCCTCCACAATTTTCTCCAGGGAGTCTTGGGTCAGAGGTGTGGGCAGGGCAGGTGTAGGGGGCCTGACAATAGCTGCCTCCATGGTGACCACAGGAACGCTAGACGTGACACTCCCCTCTGTTAAAGAGTGCCACAGCTGCTGGGTTTCCTCAAGTTTTTCCGGGCTAGTGTTCAAGGAGGAGCTGGTGTTCAGGAGCTTTGCCAGGTGCCTCACATATCTAGATATGTGGAGCTTGGTGGTGGGGTGCAGCAAGCTGTTTGGATCCGTGGCTGACTGATGGACCATCTCAGCATAATCCTGATCTACAAGCTTCAGGCTGTCCTTCTGGCCGTGGTGCTTCTGCAGCAGTTTATCTATTGCCACCTTCATGGGCGCTGTCCAGCGTGTGTGGTCCAACACAAAAACTCTGCCTCCAGTTTTTATGGGACCAGTGCGGGCACTTCGTGGGGAGGCACTCACAGGCAGGGGGAGGGCATGTGAGATTTCTGGAACACAGAAAGCAATAATAGTTCCTCAGTTAATCATGTTATTTTAGTACAATATTATGACAAGCAACTGTAATGTCTTAATTTCCTGCAGGGATAAATAAATCATTTCTGATTCTGGCTTACCCCTTGCTGCTGAAGGACCCTGAACTTCTTCAGGTGGCATCTCCTGCTTTGGCAGAGCACCAGCAGAGACTGGAGGGCGGATGGATGGTGCCGGTCCAGAGAATGGCACATAGGGAGCTTGTTCCTCAGCAGGAGCAGCAGGTGTGTGCAGGGGAGGCGGCGGCATCTGAGCAGCAGGCTGATCCCTCTTGAGCGTCCTGTGCTTGTCCCAGTCCAGCGGGACAGGACGGCAGCCTGGCTCTCTGTACTGGAGGCCGAACCTCTCTCCAGTGTCCCTGTCAGAGAGGAGAAATGCCGGATACTTCTCCTGCCCTTTCACTCGCATAGACGCAGCATTCAGCTCGCACATCAGAGCTGGGTCAAAAACAGCGGGGAGGATGACACCTGGCTGTTTAAGATCCACCAGCCGCTGGTAGTTCCACCGGGCTACCCCTGTCATGCCCTGGGCCTGGAACAATTCAGGGGAGACGTTCGTGCCAGTGACCCATTGAGCCTGGTGGAAATGGTACCCCTCTTGCTGTGACGTGCCTCTGACAGGGATCCAGATAGGGACTTTGGCTACTTCACCAGGTACGTGGTTCAGCTGAAGAGTGCCTCCGTACCTATACATTATGCCCTCCGAGAGTTCAGGGTCACTGAGGCATCCACGGAGAATGTGGATTCTCTGGATCCGCCACGTCTTCAGCATGGATGCCTTGAAGAGTGGGACGTTGTTAGGGTCCGTCGCCAGGTGGAAGTGACTCAGGACCCTCTCCACTCTGTCCAGCAGCTCTGTTGGTCTGGGTATTTTAATCCTGCAGTGCTCCCGTATGTGCTGTTTCGTGGGATTTGCAGGATGAATACCGCAGAACCTGTAGGCATCCTGAAATAATCCCATCCATTATCGCTCCAGCAATAATGGATGGGGTGGTCTTCCAGGCATCCCAGTCCAGATGCTCAACAGGGCTGCTTTCAGCGATTTTAAATGCAGCACAGCAATCCCTAATGTAAGGCACAAAGACACAGAAGGATTAAAATTAAAACTAGACACTAAATTGAATCAAAAATAAATGAATGATTTTTTTTAATGACAGAAAACGTTGTTAGTTTGAATGAAACTGAAAACAGCTGATGGCTCTGCTCACCTGTCCACCCAGTGGTAGCCTGCCTTTTCCACTCCGGCGTCGCTGTACCTCTTCGCCATCCCCTCATACATCAGCTCCAGGGACCTCTCACTTTCGGACTGAACCATCACCCAGGAGACAATGAGCCAGTGTTCGTTCATCACGGCATAACTTGACATGACTCCTGAGGCTAAAGTCACCTTCCTTGCCACTCTTCTAGTGTGGTCAGACCTGAAAACACGCCCAAATGTTCCCTGAAGAAGCCTGGACAATGCTGGCTCCTGGCGTTTGAACTCCTCCAGCAGGCAGTCAGTCAGGTAGAACCCGGACACAGAGACTCCACCCCAGCCATCTTGCTCGTCGTATGGCCCAAAAGCGCGTGGCTGGTCGTCCTTCCTCAGGAACTGTCCGATGGTTCTCTGACCGTGCACTCCAGCCTCAGCATCTCTCAGACTCTCGATGGCTTGAAGGTATGCCAGGTGAGCTCGCTCATACTTGAGGTGCATGAGCTCATTCACCTGGTTGGCCATGTCTGTTGGTGACTTCCCGGTGCGTCTCAGCTCATCCATGACAGACTTACAGATGGCTTTCTTGTAAGTCAGGAATGCAGGCAGAAGGTTGGTGAAGCGCCTGGGAAGTTTCTCAAGCCATCGTGGACTGTCGGCGAACCAGGTCTTTCGATAGGCCTTGCAGCAGAGTCGAGAGGAGAAGATGAAATATTGCCCGCTGGTGCCAACAACAACTCGAGGCCTGCCCACTCCTGCAGAGACCACCTGAGGATGAGGACAGCCGTGGAGACAGGGCAGGATATAATTGTTTCTCAGCCTGACCATGATGTGACTCTCAGGTTTCCAAATAAAAAATGGGTGGAGCTGGAAGAAGTTGGGGGACGGGAGCTCAGCCACTGAATCCAACAGCTCAGGTTGTGGAGGAAGACGCCACAAAGAAACTGCGTTCCCTGGGTTACGCACTGGGCGAGACCCAGGCCACAGCCCAAGATCCTGGAGCTCTGTCCTCATCCAGAGCTTTTGGTGATGAGAACAGCTCCAGCCGCTCATATCATGATCATGCGCAGGCACAGGAGCAGGGGCAGGGGCAGGGGCAGGGGCAGGAGCAGGAACAGGAACAAGAGCAGGAGCAGGAGCAGGGGGCTGAGCTGAGGAAACTAGGATAAAAATAAGACAATAGAACACAAATGATTATTTTGGTACAGATAATTATTAAAGGTTGCATGGTTTAAAGCAAAATCAACACAGCATGTTAGTATCAGGAGTCAGAAAAATTGAGGGAATGTTTACATTCTCTACATTCTTACCATCTCCAGCAGTGGCTTCAGGTTTGACTCCACTTTGTGCTGAGGTGCAAGCAGCACTTGTGCTAGGTTCTGAAAAGAGAAAGCAGTCTTTCTGTCATGCACTTGTACAGGCTATATTCATAAAGACATGATGATGAAATATAAAGATATTGTGAGGATTCTACTCAGTTAAGTCAGCTGTGCATTAAGCAGATGTGAACATCAGTCCTACACTAGAATAGAAACATCCTGTACCTTGAGTTGACTCAAGACTCCCAGGTGGTGAGGGACCAGTAGTCTCCTTGATCAGGAAAGCCAGCTCTGGTGGAAGGGGCACGGATCTCTTCCTTTTCACACCGGACGAGGTTGATGCAGCTGCAGGAAAGTGAATAAGCTCATCATTAATTTCGTGAAATTGCAATAAACACAATTGATTACGTTATGTGATAATTTTACACTTCATAACTTTAATATCATTATCCCTCTTACCCGACATCAATCTGTTCTCTTGTAGTATGTAGGCTTGTATATAAACAATATAGTGTAATGGAGCAGAGTTCCTTGTATGTGTAAAGAAAACTAGCTACTTCAGCGAGTATAGATTCTATTTCTGATACAGCAACGGTATTACAATATTTTTACCTTCATCCTGTGAGGCCTGCAGTTCAGAAGCAGTGGTCAGCAGAGGTTTGGACAGCGTTGCAGATGGAACTAGAAGAGACAAAATAATCAATCATTTCAAAATTCACAAAATATTCAAATGTTTTTGTTAGTAGGAAATTAATCAGTCAAGCTTACTTCTCCTGCTTCTCGAAATTTGTGTTGTTAAATTGTTATAGACACACCAAACAAACTTAAAGTACTAATCACGACTCTCTAGTCTAAGCAGGAGGAGCATTATGACTTAATGAACATGCATGCATTTAAGTGCTAGTTCATATGTTTCTCTTTTAATACAACATGCATAGAAAAGAAATTGCTTACTTACCCTCACGGCGTTTGCCATCAATTCATCATGGCAGTGATCAATTCATAGTCCTTAGGACAGTTTTTTATAACACCAGCTAACAGTATTATTAAAGGAACACGGCCAGAACATGGCCAGAACACAAAGAACACAAAGAACACAAAGAAATAGTTAAAGTTGAGGTTCAGTTTTGAGAGACAAGTCATCATGAATATGAACTCTACTCCTGAAACCCGTTGTTTAAAAACCTGTCTTTGCTCCTGGGGACACTCCTGGGGACACTCCTGGGGACACTCCTAGGAACACTCCTGGTATGGCAGCTGCTGGTGTGGATGCTGCTGGCGCAACAACTGGTTATGAACAGAAAATGGGAAATAACAGATGTCAGATACAACACAGAGTTTGCCACCGTCAGTTTTGACAATTAGTCAGTGTGATAAAAGTGCACTTACAGGTCCGCACGTGTGGTTTGGAGGATTTCATGGTCATCATGGCACTCTCCAGCTCTTCATCCTCGTCCATCGCTGTGGTCCAAACAAATATAACAGGGTACAAAAAAGAATAAGTTCACCCAAATTAGGATAGGTTTAAAGTATTAGTCACATGTCATCAGATGTGGCAAATAACAATATATAATAACTAATTTACCCATGGGTTTGGAGACACTTGAGGGATGTTCCTCGGGTGGGGAAGCTGAGGCCGATCGCTGCCTCTTCTGTAGGTACTGCTGCAGCTTAAACATTCGTGTACCTGGGACGCAGACCTTCCCCAAAACAAAGGCCGCATAGCCATCAGCTCTGCTGTCCCAAATCTCCTTCCAGGTACTTTTCCCACGAGTGCCAAAGCCAACCAGCTGGTCATCTTCCGATGAAGCTGCCAGAACACCCACTCCACTTGCTTCATAGGTTCGGAGAGACTGGATCTCATCAAAACCGAGGGCGTAATTGACGAATGACTGCAGGCTGTCCTTGGCATGTCCAGCAGTCACGGTGACGCCTGATGCCTCCTCCTTCTCCACGTTTTTAATCAGGTACATTGTGTATCCGATGTCGTTCTCCAGAAGCCACCGGAAAGATTTCCCTTTGTATTTGCCAAACTGCAGGATGTAGTCCCCCAGCACCTCTGCCCGATCTGAGGCGTCCCCTCCTCTCTGACGGACCACAGCCAGGGCATTCTGGTGTACAAGGTCTGCCCGTGTGGGTGCAGACTTGTCCTGCAGAGTGGCGTCCTCCTTGATTCTCCTGGCTTCCTTTGACGGCTCCTGGAGGAGAAATCCGAGTGGTCCCTTGCGGAACACAACGCAGATTTTCCCCGGGAAGAAAGTCATTTTCTTCTGCATTTTTCTGTAATATGAGAAAAAAATAGAAGTTTAAGGTTCGTTTTAATCAGATACTTTAAGAGGGTATTTGTAAAATACGTTTAACAAATTTAACAAGAATATTTCAGATCACATGTTATCATCCTGCTTAAATAGAATCAGCCAATTTAATATCTAACAGCTGTAAAACTTCTATGATCTTCAGTAAAAAGTTCAGAAGGTCAAGAAGACAATAGCTTTTCACACCTTTTTGATCTTCACCTGATCTAAGATCTAAGGGGGAGGAAGTGTGGACATCAGAGAGTCTGTCTGAGAACTTCAGGGGGGGTGTGTGTGGGTGTGTGTGTGTGGGGGTGGAGGGGTGCACAGCATGTGCGCAGAACACTAGAGGAGGGAGTGAGAGGGGCAGTAGTTGTGGGAAAAAAATATGTGTGCCTAATCAGCATCGTTTAAGTGTATGAGTTTAGAGAAGGGCAAATGGGGTAGGAGAGGAGACCCAAACTATGAAAAATTAGGATATTCATTCAAAATTTACCGCGGTATACACAAAACTTGTCTGACAGAAAAGGCGCTCAAATCTTGTCACATCAAGCTAGTACCGGCATAACCCGACAGTACTACTGCACTGTTACTGTACATATACGAACTACCTGCTTACTTCATGTGACCATTAAGCAGATAACATTTGTTAAAACATCGGTATCAAATGCTTTAGGTTTGAAGCATACTGTAAAATTATGTATTCATGTTATATTCATTTGAATCACTCTCTCTATAATTTAGCGCTAAATTTCACCGCGGGCAGATCTGATCTCTCACCGAGCGGGCGATTCTTATTAATTACACAAAATCAGTTTCAGTAGCTTTTAGCGTTAATGAACATGGACACTGGAAAAGAAATACCCAAAACTCTGAATAAAATATCATATTCATTCAAAATTCACCGCGGTATACACCAAAACTTGTCTGACAGAAAATGCGCTCAGATTTTGTCACATCAAGCTAGTACCGGCATAACCCGACAGTACTACTGCACCGTTACTGTACATGTACATATACGAACTACCTGCTTCAAACCACGGGTGATTAGTCCGTAAATTGATCCTATAGTTTTACATTTTAATGCCAAACAAATTCTCTTACCTTCAATAGACAGTGATGAGATCACAATTCGGAGAGAGTTGTAGACGGTGTGTTACCTCCAGCGAAGTGCGCTCCGAATGAAGGATTGTCAGGCGCTACACAACTTTAGGAGCGGAGCTCGGGACAGCGCCACAAAAAAATACCAGTGGCCAAAAGTATATTACATCCGTAGTGGTTTAGAACTACCATAGAGAATGAATGGGAATCGGTTTAGGGCCATTTAGCTAAACAATTCTCGCTGCTCACGCGGGAGGCCCGGGTTCGATTCCCGGCCAATGCACAGAGTGAGTTTTGAATTGGGCAAAGGTGCCGCATGGTGTGCAGTCAGGCCAAAGAAAACTTGCCGGCAAAGGATCCGCCCATGACTGTTCAGCTCGACGCGCAAACATGCTTGAAAACTACACCACAGCCCAGCACACATAAGCTCAAACTTTGCCATGCAAAGCCTTGTACACAGTGACGTCGACAAGCTCCCCTTTTAACACAAAGCATTTTGGTCAAAAGCTGGCTTTCAACCCACTCACCTGAGAGAAGCTGCTTCCCAGACTCCAATCCTACAACCGCTTTCCCATGGTGTCCTCTTGCGGCCCTGTCATTGGCAAAGTGTTGCTCAAAGATAAAGAGGTTGATGCTCAACCACAGTACGTGGCCACACATAAAGTAGCATGGCCAGAGCCCAGTGTGAACCGGCAGAGTGAGCAGACTGCACTTTTGACTGGATGGCCACATTGGATCAAAGGTTACAAGACAACCAAAGGGACACCAGTCGCCCCTGAAGCGGAAGGCAAAAGCATCTGCAAGAGGTTGGGGATAGTGCAGAGATGTTTTTTTCTCCCAAAAACCAGTACGGTGAAACTCATGCTGGCGCTTTTGCGCGGCGACGCCCCGCCAGGGAGCAGTACCAGGAGCATTGGTGGTTCAGTGGTAGAATTCTCGCCTGCCACGCGGGAGGCCCGGGTTCGATTCCCGGCCAATGCACAGAGTGAGTTTTGAATTGGGCAAAGGTGCCGCATAGTGTGCAGTCAGGCCAAAGAAAACTTGCCGGCAAAGGATCCGCCCATGACTGTTCAGCTCGACGCGCAAACATGCTTGAAAACTACACCACAGCCCAGCACACATAAGCTCAAACTTTGCCATGCAAAGCCTTGTACACAGTGACGTCGACAAGCTCCCCTTTTAACACAAAGCATTTTGGTCAGAAGCTGGCTTTCAACCCACTCACCTGAGAGAAGCTGCTTCCCAGACTCCAATCCTACAACCGCTTTCCCATGGTGTCCTCTTGCGGCCCTGTCATTGGCAAAGTGTTGCTCAAAGATAAAGAGGTTGACGCTCAACCACAGTACGTGGCCACACATAAAGTAGCATGGCCAGAGCCCAGTGTGAACCGGCAGAGTGAGCAGACTGCACTTTTGACTGGATGGCCACATTGGACCAAAGGTTACAAGACAACCAAAGGGACACCAGTCGCCCCTGAAGCGGAAGGCAAAAGCATCTGCAAGAGGTTGGGGATAGTGCAGAGATGTTTTTTTCTCCCAAAAACCAGTACGGTGAAACTCATGCTGGCGCTGTTGCGCGGCGACGCCCCGCCAGGGAGCAGCACCAGGAGCATTGGTGGTTCAGTGGTAGAATTCTCGCCTGCCACGCGGGAGGCCCGGGTTCGATTCCCGGCCAATGCACAGAGTGAGTTTTGAATTGGGCAAAGGTGCCGCATGGTGTGCAGTCAGGCCAAAGAAAACTTGCCGGCAAAGGATCCGCCCATGACTGTTCAGCTCGACGCGCAAACATGCTTGAAAACTACACCACAGCCCAGCACACATAAGCTCAAACTTTGCCATGCAAAGCCTTGTACACAGTGACGTCGACAAGCTGCCCTTTTAACACAAAGCATTTTGGTCAGAAGCTGGCTTTCAACCCACTCACCTGAGAGAAGCTGCTTCCCAGACTCCAATCCTACAACCGCTTTCCCATGGTGTCCTCTTGCGGCCCTGTCATTGGCAAAGTGTTGCTCAAAGATAAAGAGGTTGACGCTCAACCACAGTACGTGGCCACACATAAAGTAGCATGGCCAGAGCCCAGTGTGAACCGGCAGAGTGAGCAGACTGCACTTTTGACTGGATGGCCACATTGGATCAAAGGTTACAAGACAACCAAAGGGACACCAGTCGCCCCTGAAGCGGAAGGCAAAAGCATCTGCAAGAGGTTGGGGATAGTGCAGAGATGTTTTTTTCTCCCAAAAACCAGTACGGTGAAACTCATGCTGGCGCTGTTGCGCGGCGACGCCCCGCCAGGGAGCAGCACCAGGAGCATTGGTGGTTCAGTGGTAGAATTCTCGCCTGCCACGCGGGAGGCCCGGGTTCGATTCCCGGCCAATGCACAGAGTGAGTTTTGAATTGGGCAAAGCTGCCGCATGGTGTGCAGTCAGGCCAAAGAAAACTTGCCGGCAAAGGATCCGCCCATGACTGTTCAGCTCGACGCGCAAACATGCTTGAAAACTACACCACAGCCCAGCACACATAAGCTCAAACTTTGCCATGCAAAGCCTTGTACACAGTGACGTCGACAAGCTGCCCTTTTAACACAAAGCATTTTGGTCAGAAGCTGGCTTTCAACCCACTCACCTGAGAGAAGCTGCTTCCCAGACTCCAATCCTACAACCGCTTTCCCATGGTGTCCTCTTGCGGCCCTGTCATTGGCAAAGTGTTGCTCAAAGATAAAGAGGTTGACGCTCAACCACAGTACGTGGCCACACATAAAGTAGCATGGCCAGAGCCCAGTGTGAACCGGCAGAGTGAGCAGACTGCACTTTTGACTGGATGGCCACATTGGATCAAAGGTTACAAGACAACCAAAGGGACACCAGTCGCCCCTGAAGCGGAAGGCAAAAGCATCTGCAAGAGGTTGGGGATAGTGCAGAGATGTTTTTTTCTCCCAAAAACCAGTACGGTGAAACTCATGCTGGCGCTGTTGCGCGGCGACGCCCCGCCAGGGAGCAGCACCAGGAGCATTGGTGGTTCAGTGGTAGAATTCTCGCCTGCCACGCGGGAGGCCCGGGTTCGATTCCCGGCCAATGCACAGAGTGAGTTTTGAATTGGGCAAAGGTGCCGCATGGTGTGCAGTCAGGCCAAAGAAAACTTGCCGGCAAAGGATCCGCCCATGACTGTTCAGCTCGACGCGCAAACATGCTTGAAAACTACACCACAGCCCAGCACACATAAGCTCAAACTTTGCCATGCAAAGCCTTGTACACAGTGACGTCGACAAGCTCCCCTTTTAACACAAAGCATTTTGGTCAGAAGCTGGCTTTCAACCCACTCACCTGAGAGAAGCTGCTTCCCAGACTCCAATCCTACAACCGCTTTCCCATGGTGTCCTCTTGCGGCCCTGTCATTGGCAAAGTGTTGCTCAAAGATAAAGAGGTTGACGCTCAACCACAGTACGTGGCCACACATAAAGTAGCATGGCCAGAGCCCAGTGTGAACCGGCAGAGTGAGCAGACTGCACTTTTGACTGGATGGCCACATTGGATCAAAGGTTACAAGACAACCAAAGGGACACCAGTCGCCCCTGAAGCGGAAGGCAAAAGCATCTGCAAGAGGTTGGGGATAGTGCAGAGATGTTTTTTTCTCCCAAAAACCAGTACGGTGAAACTCATGCTGGCGCTGTTGCGCGGCGACGCCCCGCCAGGGAGCAGCACCAGGAGCATTGGTGGTTCAGTGGTAGAATTCTCGCCTGCCACGCGGGAGGCCCGGGTTCGATTCCCGGCCAATGCACAGAGTGAGTTTTGAATTGGGCAAAGGTGCCGCATGGTGTGCAGTCAGGCCAAAGAAAACTTGCCGGCAAAGGATCCGCCCATGACTGTTCAGCTCGACGCGCAAACATGCTTGAAAACTACACCACAGCCCAGCACACATAAGCTCAAACTTTGCCATGCAAAGCCTTGTACACAGTGACGTCGACAAGCTGCCCTTTTAACACAAAGCATTTTGGTCAGAAGCTGGCTTTCAACCCACTCACCTGAGAGAAGCTGCTTCCCAGACTCCAATCCTACAACCGCTTTCCCATGGTGTCCTCTTGCGGCCCTGTCATTGGCAAAGTGTTGCTCATAGATAAAGAGGTTGACGCTCAACCACAGTACGTGGCCACACATAAAGTAGCATGGCCAGAGCCCAGTGTGAACCGGCAGAGTGAGCAGACTGCACTTTTGACTGGATGGCCACATTGGATCAAAGGTTACAAGACAACCAAAGGGACACCAGTCGCCCCTGAAGCGGAAGGCAAAAGCATCTGCAAGAGGTTGGGGATAGTGCAGAGATGTTTTTTTCTCCCAAAAACCAGTACGGTGAAAGTCATGCTGGCGCTGTTGCGCGGCGACGCCCCGCCAGGGAGCAGCACCAGGAGCATTGGTGGTTCAGTGGTAGAATTCTCGCCTGCCACGCGGGAGGCCCGGGTTCGATTCCCGGCCAATGCACAGAGTGAGTTTTGAATTGGGCAAAGGTGCCGCATGGTGTGCAGTCAGGCCAAAGAAAACTTGCCGGCAAAGGATCCGCCCATGACTGTTCAGCTCGACGCGCAAACATGCTTGAAAACTACACCACAGCCCAGCACACATAAGCTCAAACTTTGCCATGCAAAGCCTTGTACACAGTGACGTCGACAAGCTGCCCTTTTAACACAAAGCATTTTGGTCAGAAGCTGGCTTTCAACCCACTCACCTGAGAGAAGCTGCTTCCCAGACTCCAATCCTACAACCGCTTTCCCATGGTGTCCTCTTGCGGCCCTGTCATTGGCAAAGTGTTGCTCAAAGATAAAGAGGTTGACGCTCAACCACAGTACGTGGCCACACATAAAGTAGCATGGCCAGAGCCCAGTGTGAACCGGCAGAGTGAGCAGACTGCACTTTTGACTGGATGGCCACATTGGACCAAAGGTTACAAGACAACCAAAGGGACACCAGTCGCCCCTGAAGCGGAAGGCAAAAGCATCTGCAAGAGGTTGGGGATAGTGCAGAGATGTTTTTTTCTCCCAAAAACCAGTACGGTGAAAGTCATGCTGGCGCTGTTGCGCGGCGACGCCCCGCCAGGGAGCAGCACCAGGAGCATTGGTGGTTCAGTGGTAGAATTCTCGCCTGCCACGCGGGAGGCCCGGGTTCGATTCCCGGCCAATGCACAGAGTGAGTTTTGAATTGGGCAAAGGTGCCGCATGGTGTGCAGTCAGGCCAAAGAAAACTTGCCGGCAAAGGATCCGCCCATGACTGTTCAGCTCGACGCGCAAACATGCTTGAAAACTACACCACAGCCCAGCACACATAAGCTCAAACTTTGCCATGCAAAGCCTTGTACACAGTGACGTCGACAAGCTGCCCTTTTAACACAAAGCATTTTGGTCAGAAGCTGGCTTTCAACCCACTCACCTGAGAGAAGCTGCTTCCCAGACTCCAATCCTACAACCGCTTTCCCATGGTGTCCTCTTGCGGCCCTGTCATTGGCAAAGTGTTGCTCATAGATAAAGAGGTTGACGCTCAACCACAGTACGTGGCCACACATAAAGTAGCATGGCCAGAGCCCAGTGTGAACCGGCAGAGTGAGCAGACTGCACTTTTGACTGGATGGCCACATTGGACCAAAGGTTACAAGACAACCAAAGGGACACCAGTCGCCCCTGAAGCGGAAGGCAAAAGCATCTGCAAGAGGTTGGGGATAGTGCAGAGATGTTTTTTTCTCCCAAAAACCAGTACGGTGAAAGTCATGCTGGCGCTGTTGCGCGGCGACGCCCCGCCAGGGAGCAGCACCAGGAGCATTGGTGGTTCAGTGGTAGAATTCTCGCCTGCCACGCGGGAGGCCCGGGTTCGATTCCCGGCCAATGCACAGAGTGAGTTTTGAATTGGGCAAAGGTGCCGCATGGTGTGCAGTCAGGCCAAAGAAAACTTGCCGGCAAAGGATCCGCCCATGACTGTTCAGCTCGACGCGCAAACATGCTTGAAAACTACACCACAGCCCAGCACACATAAGCTCAAACTTTGCCATGCAAAGCCTTGTACACAGTGACGTCGACAAGCTGCCCTTTTAACACAAAGCATTTTGGTCAGAAGCTGGCTTTCAACCCACTCACCTGAGAGAAGCTGCTTCCCAGACTCCAATCCTACAACCGCTTTCCCATGGTGTCCTCTTGCGGCCCTGTCATTGGCAAAGTGTTGCTCATAGATAAAGAGGTTGACGCTCAACCACAGTACGTGGCCACACATAAAGTAGCATGGCCAGAGCCCAGTGTGAACCGGCAGAGTGAGCAGACTGCACTTTTGACTGGATGGCCACATTGGACCAAAGGTTACAAGACAACCAAAGGGACACCAGTCGCCCCTGAAGCGGAAGGCAAAAGCATCTGCAAGAGGTTGGGGATAGTGCAGAGATGTTTTTTTCTCCCAAAAACCAGTACGGTGAAAGTCATGCTGGCGCTGTTGCGCGGCGACGCCCCGCCAGGGAGCAGCACCAGGAGCATTGGTGGTTCAGTGGTAGAATTCTCGCCTGCCACGCGGGAGGCCCGGGTTCGATTCCCGGCCAATGCACAGAGTGAGTTTTGAATTGGGCAAAGGTGCCGCATGGTGTGCAGTCAGGCCAAAGAAAACTTGCCGGCAAAGGATCCGCCCATGACTGTTCAGCTCGACGCGCAAACATGCTTGAAAACTACACCACAGCCCAGCACACATAAGCTCAAACTTTGCCATGCAAAGCCTTGTACACAGTGACGTCGACAAGCTGCCCTTTTAACACAAAGCATTTTGGTCAGAAGCTGGCTTTCAACCCACTCACCTGAGAGAAGCTGCTTCCCAGACTCCAATCCTACAACCGCTTTCCCATGGTGTCCTCTTGCGGCCCTGTCATTGGCAAAGTGTTGCTCATAGATAAAGAGGTTGACGCTCAACCACAGTACGTGGCCACACATAAAGTAGCATGGCCAGAGCCCAGTGTGAACCGGCAGAGTGAGCAGACTGCACTTTTGACTGGATGGCCACATTGGACCAAAGGTTACAAGACAACCAAAGGGACACCAGTCGCCCCTGAAGCGGAAGGCAAAAGCATCTGCAAGAGGTTGGGGATAGTGCAGAGATGTTTTTTTCTCCCAAAAACCAGTACGGTGAAAGTCATGCTGGCGCTGTTGCGCGGCGACGCCCCGCCAGGGAGCAGCACCAGGAGCATTGGTGGTTCAGTGGTAGAATTCTCGCCTGCCACGCGGGAGGCCCGGGTTCGATTCCCGGCCAATGCACAGAGTGAGTTTTGAATTGGGCAAAGGTGCCGCATGGTGTGCAGTCAGGCCAAAGAAAACTTGCCGGCAAAGGATCCGCCCATGACTGTTCAGCTCGACGCGCAAACATGCTTGAAAACTACACCACAGCCCAGCACACATAAGCTCAAACTTTGCCATGCAAAGCCTTGTACACAGTGACGTCGACAAGCTCCCTTTTAACACAAAGCATTTTGGTCAGAAGCTGGCTTTCAACCCACTCACCTGAGAGAAGCTGCTTCCCAGACTCCAATCCTACAACCGCTTTCCCATGGTGTCCTCTTGCGGCCCTGTCATTGGCAAAGTGTTGCTCATAGATAAAGAGGTTGACGCTCAACCACAGTACGTGGCCACACATAAAGTAGCATGGCCAGAGCCCAGTGTGAACCGGCAGAGTGAGCAGACTGCACTTTTGACTGGATGGCCACATTGGATCCAAAGGTTACAAGACAACCAAAGGGACACCAGTCGCCCCTGAAGCGGAAGGCAAAAGCATCTGCAAGAGGTTGGGGATAGTGCAGAGATGTTTTTTTCTCCCAAAAACCAGTACGGTGAAAGTCATGCTGGCGCTGTTGCGCGGCGACGCCCCGCCAGGGAGCAGCACCAGGAGCATTGGTGGTTCAGTGGTAGAATTCTCGCCTGCCACGCGGGAGGCCCGGGTTCGATTCCCGGCCAATGCACAGAGTGAGTTTTGAATTGGGCAAAGGTGCCGCATGGTGTGCAGTCAGGCCAAAGAAAACTTGCCGGCAAAGGATCCGCCCATGACTGTTCAGCTCGACGCGCAAACATGCTTGAAAACTACACCACAGCCCAGCACACATAAGCTCAAACTTTGCCATGCAAAGCCTTGTACACAGTGACGTCGACAAGCTGCCCTTTTAACACAAAGCATTTTGGTCAGAAGCTGGCTTTCAACCCACTCACCTGAGAGAAGCTGCTTCCCAGACTCCAATCCTACAACCGCTTTCCCATGGTGTCCTCTTGCGGCCCTGTCATTGGCAAAGTGTTGCTCATAGATAAAGAGGTTGACGCTCAACCACAGTACGTGGCCACACATAAAGTAGCATGGCCAGAGCCCAGTGTGAACCGGCAGAGTGAGCAGACTGCACTTTTGACTGGATGGCCACATTGGACCAAAGGTTACAAGACAACCAAAGGGACACCAGTCGCCCCTGAAGCGGAAGGCAAAAGCATCTGCAAGAGGTTGGGGATAGTGCAGAGATGTTTTTTTCTCCCAAAAACCAGTACGGTGAAAGTCATGCTGGCGCTGTTGCGCGGCGACGCCCCGCCAGGGAGCAGCACCAGGAGCATTGGTGGTTCAGTGGTAGAATTCTCGCCTGCCACGCGGGAGGCCCGGGTTCGATTCCCGGCCAATGCACAGAGTGAGTTTTGAATTGGGCAAAGGTGCCGCATGGTGTGCAGTCAGGCCAAAGAAAACTTGCCGGCAAAGGATCCGCCCATGACTGTTCAGCTCGACGCGCAAACATGCTTGAAAACTACACCACAGCCCAGCACACATAAGCTCAAACTTTGCCATGCAAAGCCTTGTACACAGTGACGTCGACAAGCTGCCCTTTTAACACAAAGCATTTTGGTCAGAAGCTGGCTTTCAACCCACTCACCTGAGAGAAGCTGCTTCCCAGACTCCAATCCTACAACCGCTTTCCCATGGTGTCCTCTTGCGGCCCTGTCATTGGCAAAGTGTTGCTCATAGATAAAGAGGTTGACGCTCAACCACAGTACGTGGCCACACATAAAGTAGCATGGCCAGAGCCCAGTGTGAACCGGCAGAGTGAGCAGACTGCACTTTTGACTGGATGGCCACATTGGACCAAAGGTTACAAGACAACCAAAGGGACACCAGTCGCCCCTGAAGCGGAAGGCAAAAGCATCTGCAAGAGGTTGGGGATAGTGCAGAGATGTTTTTTTCTCCCAAAAACCAGTACGGTGAAACTCATGCTGGCGCTGTTGCGCGGCGACGCCCCGCCAGGGAGCAGCACCAGGAGCATTGGTGGTTCAGTGGTAGAATTCTCGCCTGCCACGCGGGAGGCCCGGGTTCGATTCCCGGCCAATGCACAGAGTGAGTTTTGAATTGGGCAAAGGTGCCGCATGGTGTGCAGTCAGGCCAAAGAAAACTTGCCGGCAAAGGATCCGCCCATGACTGTTCAGCTCGACGCGCAAACATGCTTGAAAACTACACCACAGCCCAGCACACATAAGCTCAAACTTTGCCATGCAAAGCCTTGTACACAGTGACGTCGACAAGCTCCCTTTTAACACAAAGCATTTTGGTCAGAAGCTGGCTTTCAACCCACTCACCTGAGAGAAGCTGCTTCCCAGACTCCAATCCTACAACCGCTTTCCCATGGTGTCCTCTTGCGGCCCTGTCATTGGCAAAGTGTTGCTCATAGATAAAGAGGTTGACGCTCAACCACAGTACGTGGCCACACATAAAGTAGCATGGCCAGAGCCCAGTGTGAACCGGCAGAGTGAGCAGACTGCACTTTTGACTGGATGGCCACATTGGACCAAAGGTTACAAGACAACCAAAGGGACACCAGTCGCCCCTGAAGCGGAAGGCAAAAGCATCTGCAAGAGGTTGGGGATAGTGCAGAGATGTTTTTTTCTCCCAAAAACCAGTACGGTGAAAGTCATGCTGGCGCTGTTGCGCGGCGACGCCCCGCCAGGGAGCAGCACCAGGAGCATTGGTGGTTCAGTGGTAGAATTCTCGCCTGCCACGCGGGAGGCCCGGGTTCGATTCCCGGCCAATGCACAGAGTGAGTTTTGAATTGGGCAAAGGTGCCGCATGGTGTGCAGTCAGGCCAAAGAAAACTTGCCGGCAAAGGATCCGCCCATGACTGTTCAGCTCGACGCGCAAACATGCTTGAAAACTACACCACAGCCCAGCACACATAAGCTCAAACTTTGCCATGCAAAGCCTTGTACACAGTGACGTCGACAAGCTGCCCTTTTAACACAAAGCATTTTGGTCAGAAGCTGGCTTTCAACCCACTCACCTGAGAGAAGCTGCTTCCCAGACTCCAATCCTACAACCGCTTTCCCATGGTGTCCTCTTGCGGCCCTGTCATTGGCAAAGTGTTGCTCATAGATAAAGAGGTTGACGCTCAACCACAGTACGTGGCCACACATAAAGTAGCATGGCCAGAGCCCAGTGTGAACCGGCAGAGTGAGCAGACTGCACTTTTGACTGGATGGCCACATTGGACCAAAGGTTACAAGACAACCAAAGGGACACCAGTCGCCCCTGAAGCGGAAGGCAAAAGCATCTGCAAGAGGTTGGGGATAGTGCAGAGATGTTTTTTTCTCCCAAAAACCAGTACGGTGAAAGTCATGCTGGCGCTGTTGCGCGGCGACGCCCCGCCAGGGAGCAGCACCAGGAGCATTGGTGGTTCAGTGGTAGAATTCTCGCCTGCCACGCGGGAGGCCCGGGTTCGATTCCCGGCCAATGCACAGAGTGAGTTTTGAATTGGGCAAAGGTGCCGCATGGTGTGCAGTCAGGCCAAAGAAAACTTGCCGGCAAAGGATCCGCCCATGACTGTTCAGCTCGACGCGCAAACATGCTTGAAAACTACACCACAGCCCAGCACACATAAGCTCAAACTTTGCCATGCAAAGCCTTGTACACAGTGACGTCGACAAGCTGCCCTTTTAACACAAAGCATTTTGGTCAGAAGCTGGCTTTCAACCCACTCACCTGAGAGAAGCTGCTTCCCAGACTCCAATCCTACAACCGCTTTCCCATGGTGTCCTCTTGCGGCCCTGTCATTGGCAAAGTGTTGCTCATAGATAAAGAGGTTGACGCTCAACCACAGTACGTGGCCACACATAAAGTAGCATGGCCAGAGCCCAGTGTGAACCGGCAGAGTGAGCAGACTGCACTTTTGACTGGATGGCCACATTGGACCAAAGGTTACAAGACAACCAAAGGGACACCAGTCGCCCCTGAAGCGGAAGGCAAAAGCATCTGCAAGAGGTTGGGGATAGTGCAGAGATGTTTTTTTCTCCCAAAAACCAGTACGGTGAAAGTCATGCTGGCGCTGTTGCGCGGCGACGCCCCGCCAGGGAGCAGCACCAGGAGCATTGGTGGTTCAGTGGTAGAATTCTCGCCTGCCACGCGGGAGGCCCGGGTTCGATTCCCGGCCAATGCACAGAGTGAGTTTTGAATTGGGCAAAGGTGCCGCATGGTGTGCAGTCAGGCCAAAGAAAACTTGCCGGCAAAGGATCCGCCCATGACTGTTCAGCTCGACGCGCAAACATGCTTGAAAACTACACCACAGCCCAGCACACATAAGCTCAAACTTTGCCATGCAAAGCCTTGTACACAGTGACGTCGACAAGCTGCCCTTTTAACACAAAGCATTTTGGTCAGAAGCTGGCTTTCAACCCACTCACCTGAGAGAAGCTGCTTCCCAGACTCCAATCCTACAACCGCTTTCCCATGGTGTCCTCTTGCGGCCCTGTCATTGGCAAAGTGTTGCTCAAAGATAAAGAGGTTGACGCTCAACCACAGTACGTGGCCACACATAAAGTAGCATGGCCAGAGCCCAGTGTGAACCGGCAGAGTGAGCAGACTGCACTTTTGACTGGATGGCCACATTGGACCAAAGGTTACAAGACAACCAAAGGGACACCAGTCGCCCCTGAAGCGGAAGGCAAAAGCATCTGCAAGAGGTTGGGGATAGTGCAGAGATGTTTTTTTCTCCCAAAAACCAGTACGGTGAAAGTCATGCTGGCGCTGTTGCGCGGCGACGCCCCGCCAGGGAGCAGCACCAGGAGCATTGGTGGTTCAGTGGTAGAATTCTCGCCTGCCACGCGGGAGGCCCGGGTTCGATTCCCGGCCAATGCACAGAGTGAGTTTTGAATTGGGCAAAGGTGCCGCATGGTGTGCAGTCAGGCCAAAGAAAACTTGCCGGCAAAGGATCCGCCCATGACTGTTCAGCTCGACGCGCAAACATGCTTGAAAACTACACCACAGCCCAGCACACATAAGCTCAAACTTTGCCATGCAAAGCCTTGTACACAGTGACGTCGACAAGCTCCCTTTTAACACAAAGCATTTTGGTCAGAAGCTGGCTTTCAACCCACTCACCTGAGAGAAGCTGCTTCCCAGACTCCAATCCTACAACCGCTTTCCCATGGTGTCCTCTTGCGGCCCTGTCATTGGCAAAGTGTTGCTCATAGATAAAGAGGTTGACGCTCAACCACAGTACGTGGCCACACATAAAGTAGCATGGCCAGAGCCCAGTGTGAACCGGCAGAGTGAGCAGACTGCACTTTTGACTGGATGGCCACATTGGACCAAAGGTTACAAGACAACCAAAGGGACACCAGTCGCCCCTGAAGCGGAAGGCAAAAGCATCTGCAAGAGGTTGGGGATAGTGCAGAGATGTTTTTTTCTCCCAAAAACCAGTACGGTGAAAGTCATGCTGGCGCTGTTGCGCGGCGACGCCCCGCCAGGGAGCAGCACCAGGAGCATTGGTGGTTCAGTGGTAGAATTCTCGCCTGCCACGCGGGAGGCCCGGGTTCGATTCCCGGCCAATGCACAGAGTGAGTTTTGAATTGGGCAAAGGTGCCGCATGGTGTGCAGTCAGGCCAAAGAAAACTTGCCGGCAAAGGATCCGCCCATGACTGTTCAGCTCGACGCGCAAACATGCTTGAAAACTACACCACAGCCCAGCACACATAAGCTCAAACTTTGCCATGCAAAGCCTTGTACACAGTGACGTCGACAAGCTGCCCTTTTAACACAAAGCATTTTGGTCAGAAGCTGGCTTTCAACCCACTCACCTGAGAGAAGCTGCTTCCCAGACTCCAATCCTACAACCGCTTTCCCATGGTGTCCTCTTGCGGCCCTGTCATTGGCAAAGTGTTGCTCAAAGATAAAGAGGTTGACGCTCAACCACAGTACGTGGCCACACATAAAGTAGCATGGCCAGAGCCCAGTGTGAACCGGCAGAGTGAGCAGACTGCACTTTTGACTGGATGGCCACATTGGATCAAAGGTTACAAGACAACCAAAGGGACACCAGTCGCCCCTGAAGCGGAAGGCAAAAGCATCTGCAAGAGGTTGGGGATAGTGCAGAGATGTTTTTTTCTCCCAAAAACCAGTACGGTGAAACTCATGCTGGCGCTGTTGCGCGGCGACGCCCCGCCAGGGAGCAGCACCAGGAGCATTGGTGGTTCAGTGGTAGAATTCTCGCCTGCCACGCGGGAGGCCCGGGTTCGATTCCCGGCCAATGCACAGAGTGAGTTTTGAATTGGGCAAAGGTGCCGCATGGTGTGCAGTCAGGCCAAAGAAAACTTGCCGGCAAAGGATCCGCCCATGACTGTTCAGCTCGACGCGCAAACATGCTTGAAAACTACACCACAGCCCAGCACACATAAGCTCAAACTTTGCCATGCAAAGCCTTGTACACAGTGACGTCGACAAGCTGCCCTTTTAACACAAAGCATTTTGGTCAGAAGCTGGCTTTCAACCCACTCACCTGAGAGAAGCTGCTTCCCAGACTCCAATCCTACAACCGCTTTCCCATGGTGTCCTCTTGCGGCCCTGTCATTGGCAAAGTGTTGCTCAAAGATAAAGAGGTTGACGCTCAACCACAGTACGTGGCCACACATAAAGTAGCATGGCCAGAGCCCAGTGTGAACCGGCAGAGTGAGCAGACTGCACTTTTGACTGGATGGCCACATTGGATCAAAGGTTACAAGACAACCAAAGGGACACCAGTCGCCCCTGAAGCGGAAGGCAAAAGCATCTGCAAGAGGTTGGGGATAGTGCAGAGATGTTTTTTTCTCCCAAAAACCAGTACGGTGAAACTCATGCTGGCGCTGTTGCGCGGCGACGCCCCGCCAGGGAGCAGCACCAGGAGCATTGGTGGTTCAGTGGTAGAATTCTCGCCTGCCACGCGGGAGGCCCGGGTTCGATTCCCGGCCAATGCACAGAGTGAGTTTTGAATTGGGCAAAAGCTGCCGCATGGTGTGCAGTCAGGCCAAAGAAAACTTGCCGGCAAAGGATCCGCCCATGACTGTTCAGCTCGACGCGCAAACATGCTTGAAAACTACACCACAGCCCAGCACACATAAGCTCAAACTTTGCCATGCAAAGCCTTGTACACAGTGACGTCGACAAGCTGCCCTTTTAACACAAAGCATTTTGGTCAGAAGCTGGCTTTCAACCCACTCACCTGAGAGAAGCTGCTTCCCAGACTCCAATCCTACAACCGCTTTCCCATGGTGTCCTCTTGCGGCCCTGTCATTGGCAAAGTGTTGCTCAAAGATAAAGAGGTTGACGCTCAACCACAGTACGTGGCCACACATAAAGTAGCATGGCCAGAGCCCAGTGTGAACCGGCAGAGTGAGCAGACTGCACTTTTGACTGGATGGCCACATTGGACCAAAGGTTACAAGACAACCAAAGGGACACCAGTCGCCCCTGAAGCGGAAGGCAAAAGCATCTGCAAGAGGTTGGGGATAGTGCAGAGATGTTTTTTTCTCCCAAAAACCAGTACGGTGAAACTCATGCTGGCGCTGTTGCGCGGCGACGCCCCGCCAGGGAGCAGCACCAGGAGCATTGGTGGTTCAGTGGTAGAATTCTCGCCTGCCACGCGGGAGGCCCGGGTTCGATTCCCGGCCAATGCACAGAGTGAGTTTTGAATTGGGCAAAGGTGCCGCATGGTGTGCAGTCAGGCCAAAGAAAACTTGCCGGCAAAGGATCCGCCCATGACTGTTCAGCTCGACGCGCAAACATGCTTGAAAACTACACCACAGCCCAGCACACATAAGCTCAAACTTTGCCATGCAAAGCCTTGTACACAGTGACGTCGACAAGCTGCCCTTTTAACACAAAGCATTTTGGTCAGAAGCTGGCTTTCAACCCACTCACCTGAGAGAAGCTGCTTCCCAGACTCCAATCCTACAACCGCTTTCCCATGGTGTCCTCTTGCGGCCCTGTCATTGGCAAAGTGTTGCTCAAAGATAAAGAGGTTGACGCTCAACCACAGTACGTGGCCACACATAAAGTAGCATGGCCAGAGCCCAGTGTGAACCGGCAGAGTGAGCAGACTGCACTTTTGACTGGATGGCCACATTGGATCAAAGGTTACAAGACAACCAAAGGGACACCAGTCGCCCCTGAAGCGGAAGGCAAAAGCATCTGCAAGAGGTTGGGGATAGTGCAGAGATGTTTTTTTCTCCCAAAAACCAGTACGGTGAAACTCATGCTGGCGCTGTTGCGCGGCGACGCCCCGCCAGGGAGCAGCACCAGGAGCATTGGTGGTTCAGTGGTAGAATTCTCGCCTGCCACGCGGGAGGCCCGGGTTCGATTCCCGGCCAATGCACAGAGTGAGTTTTGAATTGGGCAAAGCTGCCGCATGGTGTGCAGTCAGGCCAAAGAAAACTTGCCGGCAAAGGATCCGCCCATGACTGTTCAGCTCGACGCGCAAACATGCTTGAAAACTACACCACAGCCCAGCACACATAAGCTCAAACTTTGCCATGCAAAGCCTTGTACACAGTGACGTCGACAAGCTGCCCTTTTAACACAAAGCATTTTGGTCAGAAGCTGGCTTTCAACCCACTCACCTGAGAGAAGCTGCTTCCCAAACTCCAATCCTACAACCGCTTTCCCATGGTGTCCTCTTGCGGCCCTGTCATTGGCAAAGTGTTGCTCAAAGATAAAGAGGTTGACGCTCAACCACAGTACGTGGCCACACATAAAGTAGCATGGCCAGAGCCCAGTGTGAACCGGCAGAGTGAGCAGACTGCACTTTTGACTGGATGGCCACATTGGATCAAAGGTTACAAGACAACCAAAGGGACACCAGTCGCCCCTGAAGCGGAAGGCAAAAGCATCTGCAAGAGGTTGGGGATAGTGCAGAGATGTTTTTTTCTCCCAAAAACCAGTACGGTGAAACTCATGCTGGCGCTGTTGCGTGGCGACGCCCCGCCAGGGAGCAGCACCAGGAGCATTGGTGGTTCAGTGGTAGAATTCTCGCCTGCCACGCGGGAGGCCCGGGTTCGATTCCCGGCCAATGCACAGAGTGAGTTTTGAATTGGGCAAAGCTGCCGCATGGTGTGCAGTCAGGCCAAAGAAAACTTGCCAGCAAAGGATCCGCCCATGACTGTTCAGCTCGACGCGCAAACATGCTTGAAAACTACACCACAGCCCAGCACACATAAGCTCAAACTTTGCCATGCAAAGCCTTGTACACAGTGACGTCGACAAGCTGCCCTTTTAACACAAAGCATTTTGGTCAGAAGCTGGCTTTCAACCCACTCACCTGAGAGAAGCTGCTTCCCAGACTCCAATCCTACAACCGCTTTCCCATGGTGTCCTCTTGCGGCCCTGTCATTGGCAAAGTGTTGCTCATAGATAAAGAGGTTGACGCTCAACCACAGTACGTGGCCACACATAAAGTAGCATGGCCAGAGCCCAGTGTGAACCGGCAGAGTGAGCAGACTGCACTTTTGACTGGATGGCCACATTGGACCAAAGGTTACAAGACAACCAAAGGGACACCAGTCGCCCCTGAAGCGGAAGGCAAAAGCATCTGCAAGAGGTTGGGGATAGTGCAGAGATGTTTTTTTCTCCCAAAAACCAGTACGGTGAAAGTCATGCTGGCGCTGTTGCGTGGCGACGCCCCGCCAGGGAACAGCACCAGGAGCATTGGTGGTTCAGTGGTAGAATTCTCGCCTGCCACGCGGGAGGCCCGGGTTCGATTCCCGGCCAATGCACAGAGTGAGTTTTGAATTGGGCAAAGGTGCCGCATGGTGTGCAGTCAGGCCAAAGAAAACTTGCCGGCAAAGGATCCGCCCATGACTGTTCAGCTCGACGCGCAAACATGCTTGAAAACTACACCACAGCCCAGCACACATAAGCTCAAACTTTGCCATGCAAAGCCTCGTACACAGTGACGTCGACAAGCTGCCCTTTTAACACAAAGCATTTTGGTCAGAAGCTGGCTTTCAACCCACTCACCTGAGAGAAGCTGCTTCCCAGACTCCAATCCTACAACCGCTTTCCCATGGTGTCCTCTTGCGGCCCTGTCATTGGCAAAGTGTTGCTCATAGATAAAGAGGTTGACGCTCAACCACAGTACGTGGCCACACATAAAGTAGCATGGCCAGAGCCCAGTGTGAACCGGCAGAGTGAGCAGACTGCACTTTTGACTGGATGGCCACATTGGATCAAAGGTTACAAGACAACCAAAGGGACACCAGTCGCCCCTGAAGCGGAAGGCAAAAGCATCTGCAAGAGGTTGGGGATAGTGCAGAGATGTTTTTTTCTCCCAAAAACCAGTACGGTGAAACTCATGCTGGCGCTGTTGCGCGGCGACGCCCCGCCAGGGAGCAGCACCAGGAGCATTGGTGGTTCAGTGGTAGAATTCTCGCCTGCCACGCGGGAGGCCCGGGTTCGATTCCCGGCCAATGCACAGAGTGAGTTTTGAATTGGGCAAAGCTGCCGCATGGTGTGCAGTCAGGCCAAAGAAAACTTGCCGGCAAAGGATCCGCCCATGACTGTTCAGCTCGACGCGCAAACATGCTTGAAAACTACACCACAGCCCAGCACACATAAGCTCAAACTTTGCCATGCAAAGCCTTGTACACAGTGACGTCGACAAGCTCCCTTTTAACACAAAGCATTTTGGTCAGAAGCTGGCTTTCAACCCACTCACCTGAGAGAAGCTGCTTCCCAGACTCCAATCCTACAACCGCTTTCCCATGGTGTCCTCTTGCGGCCCTGTCATTGGCAAAGTGTTGCTCAAAGATAAAGAGGTTGACGCTCAACCACAGTACGTGGCCACACATAAAGTAGCATGGCCAGAGCCCAGTGTGAACCGGCAGAGTGAGCAGACTGCACTTTTGACTGGATGGCCACATTGGATCAAAGGTTACAAGACAACCAAAGGGACACCAGTCGCCCCTGAAGCGGAAGGCAAAAGCATCTGCAAGAGGTTGGGGATAGTGCAGAGATGTTTTTTTCTCCCAAAAACCAGTACGGTGAAACTCATGCTGGCGCTGTTGCGCGGCGACGCCCCGCCAGGGAGCAGCACCAGGAGCATTGGTGGTTCAGTGGTAGAATTCTCGCCTGCCACGCGGGAGGCCCGGGTTCGATTCCCGGCCAATGCACAGAGTGAGTTTTGAATTGGGCAAAGCTGCCGCATGGTGTGCAGTCAGGCCAAAGAAAACTTGCCGGCAAAGGATCCGCCCATGACTGTTCAGCTCGACGCGCAAACATGCTTGAAAACTACACCACAGCCCAGCACACATAAGCTCAAACTTTGCCATGCAAAGCCTTGTACACAGTGACGTCGACAAGCTGCCCTTTTAACACAAAGCATTTTGGTCAGAAGCTGGCTTTCAACCCACTCACCTGAGAGAAGCTGCTTCCCAGACTCCAATCCTACAACCGCTTTCCCATGGTGTCCTCTTGCGGCCCTGTCATTGGCAAAGTGTTGCTCAAAGATAAAGAGGTTGACGCTCAACCACAGTACGTGGCCACACATAAAGTAGCATGGCCAGAGCCCAGTGTGAACCGGCAGAGTGAGCAGACTGCACTTTTGACTGGATGGCCACATTGGATCAAAGGTTACAAGACAACCAAAGGGACACCAGTCGCCCCTGAAGCGGAAGGCAAAAGCATCTGCAAGAGGTTGGGGATAGTGCAGAGATGTTTTTTTCTCCCAAAAACCAGTACGGTGAAACTCATGCTGGCGCTGTTGCGCGGCGACGCCCCGCCAGGGAGCAGCACCAGGAGCATTGGTGGTTCAGTGGTAGAATTCTCGCCTGCCACGCGGGAGGCCCGGGTTCGATTCCCGGCCAATGCACAGAGTGAGTTTTGAATTGGGCAAAGCTGCCGCATGGTGTGCAGTCAGGCCAAAGAAAACTTGCCGGCAAAGGATCCGCCCATGACTGTTCAGCTCGACGCGCAAACATGCTTGAAAACTACACCACAGCCCAGCACACATAAGCTCAAACTTTGCCATGCAAAGCCTTGTACACAGTGACGTCGACAAGCTGCCCTTTTAACACAAAGCATTTTGGTCAGAAGCTGGCTTTCAACCCACTCACCTGAGAGAAGCTGCTTCCCAGACTCCAATCCTACAACCGCTTTCCCATGGTGTCCTCTTGCGGCCCTGTCATTGGCAAAGTGTTGCTCAAAGATAAAGAGGTTGACGCTCAACCACAGTACGTGGCCACACATAAAGTAGCATGGCCAGAGCCCAGTGTGAACCGGCAGAGTGAGCAGACTGCACTTTTGACTGGATGGCCACATTGGATCAAAGGTTACAAGACAACCAAAGGGACACCAGTCGCCCCTTAAGCGGAAGGCAAAAGCATCTGCAAGAGGTTGGGGATAGTGCAGAGATGTTTTTTTCTCCCAAAAACCAGTACGGTGAAACTCATGCTGGCGCTGTTGCGCGGCGACGCCCCGCCAGGGAGCAGCACCAGGAGCATTGGTGGTTCAGTGGTAGAATTCTCGCCTGCCACGCGGGAGGCCCGGGTTCGATTCCCGGCCAATGCACAGAGTGAGTTTTGAATTGGGCAAAGGTGCCGCATGGTGTGCAGTCAGGCCAAAGAAAACTTGCCGGCAAAGGATCCGCCCATGACTGTTCAGCTCGACGCGCAAACATGCTTGAAAACTACACCACAGCCCAGCACACATAAGCTCAAACTTTGCCATGCAAAGCCTTGTACACAGTGACGTCGACAAGCTCCCCTTTTAACACAAAGTATTTTGGTCAGAAGCTGGCTTTCAACCCACTCACCTGAGAGAAGCTGCTTCCCAGACTCCAATCCTACAACCGCTTTCCCATGGTGTCCTCTTGCGGCCCTGTCATTGGCAAAGTGTTGCTCAAAGATAAAGAGGTTGACGCTCAACCACAGTACGTGGCCACACATAAAGTAGCATGGCCAGAGCCCAGTGTGAACCGGCAGAGTGAGCAGACTGCACTTTTGACTGGATGGCCACATTGGATCAAAGGTTACAAGACAACCAAAGGGACACCAGTCGCCCCTGAAGCGGAAGGCAAAAGCATCTGCAAGAGGTTGGGGATAGTGCAGAGATGTTTTTTTCTCCCAAAAACCAGTACGGTGAAACTCATGCTGGCGCTGTTGCGCGGCGACGCCCCGCCAGGGAGCAGCACCAGGAGCATTGGTGGTTCAGTGGTAGAATTCTCGCCTGCCACGCGGGAGGCCCGGGTTCGATTCCCGGCCAATGCACAGAGTGAGTTTTGAATTGGGCAAAGCTGCCGCATGGTGTGCAGTCAGGCCAAAGAAAACTTGCCGGCAAAGGATCCGCCCATGACTGTTCAGCTCGACGCGCAAACATGCTTGAAAACTACACCACAGCCCAGCACACATAAGCTCAAACTTTGCCATGCAAAGCCTTGTACACAGTGACGTCGACAAGCTGCCCTTTTAACACAAAGCATTTTGGTCAGAAGCTGGCTTTCAACCCACTCACCTGAGAGAAGCTGCTTCCCAGACTCCAATCCTACAACCGCTTTCCCATGGTGTCCTCTTGCGGCCCTGTCATTGGCAAAGTGTTGCTCAAAGATAAAGAGGTTGACGCTCAACCACAGTACGTGGCCACACATAAAGTAGCATGGCCAGAGCCCAGTGTGAACCGGCAGAGTGAGCAGACTGCACTTTTGACTGGATGGCCACATTGGATCAAAGGTTACAAGACAGCCAAAGGGACACCAGTCGCCCCTGAAGCGGAAGGCAAAAGCATCTGCAAGAGGTTGGGGATAGTGCAGAGATGTTTTTTTCTCCCAAAAACCAGTACGGTGAAACTCATGCTGGCGCTGTTGCGCGGCGACGCCCCGCCAGGGAGCAGCACCAGGAGCATTGGTGGTTCAGTGGTAGAATTCTCGCCTGCCACGCGGGAGGCCCGGGTTCGATTCCCGGCCAATGCACAGAGTGAGTTTTGAATTGGGCAAAGGTGCCGCATGGTGTGCAGTCAGGCCAAAGAAAACTTGCCGGCAAAGGATCCGCCCATGACTGTTCAGCTCGACGCGCAAACATGCTTGAAAACTACACCACAGCCCAGCACACATAAGCTCAAACTTTGCCATGCAAAGCCTTGTACACAGTGACGTCGACAAGCTGCCCTTTTAACACAAAGCATTTTGGTCAGAAGCTGGCTTTCAACCCACTCACCTGAGAGAAGCTGCTTCCCAGACTCCAATCCTACAACCGCTTTCCCATGGTGTCCTCTTGCGGCCCTGTCATTGGCAAAGTGTTGCTCATAGATAAAGAGGTTGACGCTCAACCACAGTACGTGGCCACACATAAAGTAGCATGGCCAGAGCCCAGTGTGAACCGGCAGAGTGAGCAGACTGCACTTTTGACTGGATGGCCACATTGGACCAAAGGTTACAAGACAACCAAAGGGACACCAGTCGCCCCTGAAGCGGAAGGCAAAAGCATCTGCAAGAGGTTGGGGATATGCAGAGATGTTTTTTTCTCCCAAAAACCAGTACGGTGAAACTCATGCTGGCGCTGTTGCGCGGCGACGCCCCGCCAGGGAGCAGCACCAGGAGCATTGGTGGTTCAGTGGTAGAATTCTCGCCTGCCACGCGGGAGGCCCGGGTTCGATTCCCGGCCAATGCACAGAGTGAGTTTTGAATTGGGCAAAGGTGCCGCATGGTGTGCAGTCAGGCCAAAGAAAACTTGCCGGCAAAGGATCCGCCCATGACTGTTCAGCTCGACGCGCAAACATGCTTGAAAACTACACCACAGCCCAGCACACATAAGCTCAAACTTTGCCATGCAAAGCCTTGTACACAGTGACGTCGACAAGCTCCCCTTTTAACACAAAGCATTTTGGTCAGAAGCTGGCTTTCAACCCACTCACCTGAGAGAAGCTGCTTCCCAGACTCCAATCCTACAACCGCTTTCCCATGGTGTCCTCTTGCGGCCCTGTCATTGGCAAAGTGTTGCTCAAAGATAAAGAGGTTGACGCTCAACCACAGTACGTGGCCACACATAAAGTAGCATGGCCAGAGCCCAGTGTGAACCGGCAGAGTGAGCAGACTGCACTTTTGACTGGATGGCCACATTGGATCAAAGGTTACAAGACAGCCAAAGGGACACCAGTCGCCCCTGAAGCGGAAGGCAAAAGCATCTGCAAGAGGTTGGGGATAGTGCAGAGATGTTTTTTTCTCCCAAAAACCAGTACGGTGAAACTCATGCTGGCGCTGTTGTGCGGCGACGCCCCGCCAGGGAGCAGCACCAGGAGCATTGGTGGTTCAGTGGTAGAATTCTCGCCTGCCACGCGGGAGGCCCGGGTTCGATTCCCGGCCAATGCACAGAGTGAGTTTTGAATTGGGCAAAGCTGCCGCATGGTGTGCAGTCAGGCCAAAGAAAACTTGCCGGCAAAGGATCCGCCCATGACTGTTCAGCTCGACGCGCAAACATGCTTGAAAACTACACCACAGCCCAGCACACATAAGCTCAAACTTTGCCATGCAAAGCCTTGTACACAGTGACGTCGACAAGCTCCCCTTTTAACACAAAGCATTTTGGTCAGAAGCTGGCTTTCAACCCACTCACCTGAGAGAAGCTGCTTCCCAGACTCCAATCCTACAACCGCTTTCCCATGGTGTCCTCTTGCGGCCCTGTCATTGGCAAAGTGTTGCTCAAAGATAAAGAGGTTGACGCTCAACCACAGTACGTGGCCACACATAACGTAGCATGGCCAGAGCCCAGTGTGAACCGGCAGAGTGAGCAGACTGCACTTTTGACTGGATGGCCACATTGGATCAAAGGTTACAAGACAACCAAAGGGACACCAGTCGCCCCTGAAGCGGAAGGCAAAAGCATCTGCAAGAGGTTGGGGATAGTGCAGAGATGTTTTTTTCTCCCAAAAACCAGTACGGTGAAACTCATGCTGGCGCTGTTGCGCGGCGACGCCCCGCCAGGGAGCAGCACCAGGAGCATCGGTGGTTCAGTGGTAGAATTCTCGCCTGCCACGCGGGAGGCCCGGGTTCGATTCCCGGCCAATGCACAGAGTGAGTTTTGAATTGGGCAAAGCTGCCGCATGGTGTGCAGTCAGGCCAAAGAAAACTTGCCGGCAAAGGATCCGCCCATGACTGTTCAGCTCGACGCGCAAACATGCTTGAAAACTACACCACAGCCCAGCACACATAAGCTCAAACTTTGCCATGCAAAGCCTTGTACACAGTGACGTCGACAAGCTCCCCTTTTAACACAAAGCATTTTGGTCAGAAGCTGGCTTTCAACCCACTCACCTGAGAGAAGCTGCTTCCCAGACTCCAATCCTACAACCGCTTTCCCATGGTGTCCTCTTGCGGCCCTGTCATTGGCAAAGTGTTGCTCAAAGATAAAGAGGTTGACGCTCAACCACAGTACGTGGCCACACATAAAGTAGCATGGCCAGAGCCCAGTGTGAACCGGCAGAGTGAGCAGACTGCACTTTTGACTGGATGGCCACATTGGACCAAAGGTTACAAGACAACCAAAGGGACACCAGTCGCCCCTGAAGCGGAAGGCAAAAGCATCTGCAAGAGGTTGGGGATAGTGCAGAGATGTTTTTTTCTCCCAAAAACCAGTACGGTGAAACTCATGCTGGCGCTGTTGCGCGGCGACGCCCCGCCAGGGAGCAGCACCAGGAGCATTGGTGGTTCAGTGGTAGAATTCTCGCCTGCCACGCGGGAGGCCCGGGTTCGATTCCCGGCCAATGCACAGAGTGAGTTTTGAATTGGGCAAAGGTGCCGCATGGTGTGCAGTCAGGCCAAAGAAAACTTGCCGGCAAAGGATCCGCCCATGACTGTTCAGCTCGACGCGCAAACATGCTTGAAAACTACACCACAGCCCAGCACACATAAGCTCAAACTTTGCCATGCAAAGCCTTGTACACAGTGACGTCGACAAGCTCCCCTTTTAACACAAAGCATTTTGGTCAGAAGCTGGCTTTCAACCCACTCACCTGAGAGAAGCTGCTTCCCAGACTCCAATCCTACAACCGCTTTCCCATGGTGTCCTCTTGCGGCCCTGTCATTGGCAAAGTGTTGCTCAAAGATAAAGAGGTTGACGCTCAACCACAGTACGTGGCCACACATAAAGTAGCATGGCCAGAGCCCAGTGTGAACCGGCAGAGTGAGCAGACTGCACTTTTGACTGGATGGCCACATTGGACCAAAGGTTACAAGACAACCAAAGGGACACCAGTCGCCCCTGAAGCGGAAGGCAAAAGCATCTGCAAGAGGTTGGGGATAGTGCAGAGATGTTTTTTTCTCCCAAAAACCAGTACGGTGAAACTCATGCTGGCGCTGTTGCGCGGCGACGCCCCGCCAGGGAGCAGCACCAGGAGCATTGGTGGTTCAGTGGTAGAATTCTCGCCTGCCACGCGGGGGCCGGTTGCGAATAGCTGTAACAGAGAAACAGCCAATAGGATTAAAGTATCTTTTTTTTTTAATTCAAGGGGTCTGAATTCGGTTTCGAATCCCCACTCAGACATCTGAGAAAAGATGAGATTTACAAAACAAGAACTTTACTCGTCCCCAGAGGGGAATTAATTGTCTTGAATCTCATGAAAGAATTTCCCTCTGGGATTAAGTATCTATCTATCTATCTATCTATCTATCTATCTATCTATCTATCTATCTATCTATCTATCTATCTAATATAATCTCATCTATCTAATGAACAGCACAACTTCTCCTGGACAGTTCTGTGTGAAGACTTACACCATCTCGGGTTCCTTTCTTCTTGCCACTCATTTCAGCATCTTTCTCTGACCTTATGACAGTAAAGCCAGTAGATCCCCACTGGAGTCTGAGTTGTTTTGATTCAACCAGGTTTCAGTAACACTTAGGAGACTGCACTTACAGTATGCTCTTGTAGAAGTACCTGAAGTTCATGGTTGCTTTCTTTGTTTCATACACGCATGAAATCAAGTACACCTTCTAAAAAGTAATAATGAGAGTTTGAGACCACATTAAAATGTCTATGCTGGTGAACCAGAAACAGTAAATCTTGGCATCATATTATTTTGATTCCAAGCTGTAAAAAAAAGACGTAGATTTCAATTTTGAACATGTAAAAAGTTTAATTGACAAAAAAAGTTATAATACTCAGGAATATAATAAAATATATAATATAAATATTATAATAAAATAAAATATATAATACAATATATAATACAATAAAATTATTCTTATTATATCTAGATAATATATACTTTTTTACTACTATAAACAAATTGACAACAAAGTTACAATATTCAGTAATATAATAAATAATATTCAGTAACACAATAAAATATATAATAGAATAAAATATATAATAGAATATGTAATACAATAAAGTTATTCTTATTCTTCTAATAATAGTAATAGATAATATTTACATTTTTTCATCATCTGCCAATGACAGAAACACCTATGAACTACTATAAACAAATTGACAAGCAAGTTATAATATTCAGTACCATCATAAATAATATTCCTTACTATAATAAAAAATATAATAAGTATATATAATAGTATATATAATATATGATTGAATCTGGCTCAACATTTAACAACAACTATAGTAACAACAACAACAAATTATTCTTGTATTCATATTTACATATATACAGACATATTTTCAAGAATAATTTTTTCATTTACACATAAACACATATATACATTTATACATATATACAAATATGGAAACAAACTATGTCCTTTCATCCTTCCATCTTTGTTTCTCCATCTCATAGAAAGGAGACCCACAAAACTCCTTCCAGCTCAGCTCCCTGGTCATTCCCTTGCTGCGATATAGAGACAGCACCTTCGAAGGGCAGTAAATATATTTCCCTGCCACCCCTGGGAAGCCAGTATGAACGTGAGGACTGTTTGGCCCCTGTTTCAGTCCCTGCTGACAGAACCGACAGAGGCGGCCAGCTTGATGTGCGTCTGGCTGTTTCCTTTTTTTCTCCTCCACCCGTTTTTTTGTTTCCTCCAGCTCCCTCTGGAAAAACTCCGTCTGCGCAAACTCCTCGAAGGGCATCTTGGCATCTGAAAGCCCCTCAGCAGCATAGCTTTGATGCACTTTCTTTGAGCAGTAGAAATAGCGGACGGGCCCCTGCTGGTAAAAAAAGTGGACCGAGGATCCATCGGTCTCGTATCGAGACTTGGGCTGTCCGCAAGCGAGACAAGTCTTTGTCTGCCTTTTCTTCTGCTCTGGCTGGGGCTGTTGTTGCTGATACTGCTGCTGTTTTTCCAAGATGCCCTCCACAATTTTCTCCAGGGAGTCTTGGGTCAGAGGTGTGGGCAGGGCAGGTGTAGGGGGCCTGACAATAGCCGCCTCCATGGTGACCACAGGAACGCTAGACGTGACACTCCCCTCTGTTAAAGAGTGCCACAGCTGCTGGGTTTCCTCGAGTTTTTCCGGGCTAGTGTTCAAGGAGGAGCTGGTGTTAAGGAGCTTTGCCAGGTGCCTCACATATCTAGATATGTGGAGCTTGGTGGTGGGGTGCAGCAAGCTGTTTGGATCCGTGGCTGACTGATGGACCATCTCAGCATAATCCTGATCCACAAGCTTCAGGCTGTCCTTCCGGCCGTGGTGCTTCTGCAGCAGTTTATCGATTGCCACCTTCATGGGCGCTGTCCAGCGTGTGTGGTCCAACACAAAAACTCTGCCTCCAGTTTTTATGGGACCAGTGCGGGCACTTCGTGGGGAGGCACTCACAGGCAGGGGGAGGGCATGTGAGATTTCTGGAACACATAAAGCAATAATAGTTCCTCAGTTAATCATGTTATTTTAGTACAATATTATGACAAGCAACTGTAATGTCTGTAATGTTCTGTAACTGTAATGTTCCTGCAGGGATAAATAAATCATTTCTGATTCTGGCTTACCCCTTGCTGCTGAAGGACCCTGAACTTCTTCAGGTGGCATCTCCTGCCTTGGCAGAGCACCAGCAGAGACTGGAGGGCGGATGGATGGTGCCGGTCCAGAGAATGGCACATCGTGAGCTTGTTCCTCAGCAGGAGCAGCAGGTGTATGCAGGGGAGGCGGCGGCGGCATCTGAGCAGCAGGCTGATCCCTCTTGAGCGTCCTGTGCTTGTCCCAGTCCAGCGGGACAGGACGGCAGCCTGGCTCGCTGTACTGGAGGCCGAACCTCTCTCCAGTGTCCCTGTCAGAGAGGAGAAATGCCGGATACTTCTCCTGCCCTGTCACTCGCATAGACGCAGCGTTCAGCTCGCACATCAGAGCTGGGTCAAAAACAGCGGGGAGGATGACACCTGGCTGTTTAAGATCCACCAGCCGCTGGTAGTTCCACCGGGCTACCCCTGTCATGCCCTGGGCCTGGAACAATTCAGGGGAGACGTTCGTGCCAGTGACCCATTGAGCCTGGTGGAAATGGTACCCCTCTTGCTGTGACGTGCCTCTGACAGGGATCCAGATAGGGACTTTGGCACCTTCACCAGGTACGTGGTTCAGCTGAAGAGTGCCTCCGTACCTATACATTATGCCCTCCGAGAGTTCAGGGTCACTGAGGCACCCACGGAGAATGTGGACTCTCTGGATCCGCCACGTCTTCAGCATGGATGCCTTGAAGAGTGGGACGTTGTTAGGGTCCGTCGCCAGGTGGAAGTGACTCAGGACCCTCTCCACTCTGTCCAGCAGCTCTGTTGGTCTGGGTATTTTAATCCTGCAGTGCTCCCGTATGTGCTGTTTCGTGGGATTTGCAGGATGAATACCGCAGAACCTGTAGGCATCCTGAAGCTTTTTTAAGTCTTCCTGATCCACAACAGAGAAGGCAGCGGAGAGCAGCTGGCAGAAGGTGCTGTACAGAGGGTGATGCTCAGAGGTGCACTCCCTGGAAAAGCGCCTCAGGCAGTGAAACAAGTCCAGTTTCACAACAATGCCAGCATTGTAATGTGAACGTGAGGCACAGGTGTTCACAAGACTTCCAGAGGTCGCTCCGGCAATAATGGATGGGGTGGTCTTCCAGGCATCCCAGTCCAGATGCTCAAAAGGGCTGCTGTCAGCGATTTTAAATGCAGCACAGCAATCCCTAATGTAAGGCACAAAGACACAGAAGGATTAAAATTAAAACTAGACACTAAATTGAATCAAAAATAAATGAATGAGTTAGTTTGTTAGTTAGTTAGTTTGAATGAAACTGAAAACAGCTGATGGCTCTGCTCACCTGTCCACCCAGTGGTAGCCTGCTTTTTCCACTCCGGCGTCGCTGTACCTCTTCGCCACCCCCTCGTACATCAGCTCCAGGGACCTCTCGCTTTCAGACTGAACCATCACCCAGGAGACAATGAGCCAGTGCTCGTTCATCACGGCATAACTGGACATGACTCCTGAGGCTAAGGTCACCTTCCTTGCCACTCTCCTGGTGTGGTCAGACCTGAAAACACGCCCAAATGTTCCCTGAAGAAGCCTGGACAATGCTGGCTCCTGGCGTTTGAACTCCTCCAGCAGGCAGTCAGTCAGGTAGAACCCGGACACAGAGACTCCAGCCCAGCCATCTTGCTCGTCGTATGGCCCAAAAGCGCGTGGCTGGTTGTCCTTCCTCAGGAACTGTCCGATGGTTCTCTGACCGTGCACTCCAGCCTCAGCATCTCTCAGACTCTCGATGGCTTGGAGGTATGCCAGGTGAGCTCGCTCATACTTGAGGTGCATGAGCTCATTCACCTGGTTGGCCATGTCTGTTGGTGACTTCCCGGTGCGTCTCAGCTCATCCATGACAGACTTACAGATGGCTTTCTTGTAAGTCAGAAATGCAGGCAGAAGGTTGGTGAAGCGCCTGGGAAGTTTGTCAAGCCATCGTGGACTGTCGGCGAACCAGGTCTTTCGACAGGCCTTGCAGCAGAGTCGAGAGGAGAAGATAAAATATTGCCCGCTGGTGCCAACAACAACTCGAGGCCTGCCCACTCCTGCAGAGACCACCTGAGGATGAGGACAGCCGTGGAGACAGGGCAGGATATAATTGTTTCTCAGCCTGACCATGATGTGACTCTCAGGTTTCCAGATAAAAAATGGGTGGAGCTGGAAGAAGTTGGGGGACGGGAGCTCAGCCACTGAATCCAACAGCTCAGGTTGTGGAGGAAGACGCCACAAAGAAACTGCGTTCCCTGGGTTACGAACTGGGCGAGACCCAGGCCACAGCCCAAGATCCTGGAGCTCTGTCCTCATCCAGAGCTTTTGGTGATGAGAACAGCTCCAGCTGCTCATATCATGATCATGCGCAGGCACAGGAGCAGGGGCAGGGGCAGGAGCAGGAGCAGGAACAGGAACAAGAGCAGGAGCAGGAGGAGGGGGCTGAGCTGAGGAAACTAGGATAAAAATAAGACAATAGAACACAAGTGATTATTTTGATACAGATAATTATTAAAGGTTGCATGGTTTAAAGCAAAATCAACATAGCATGTTAGTATCAGGAGTCAGAAAAATTGAGGGAATGTTTACATTCTCTACATTCTTACCATCTCCAGCAGTGGCTTTAGGTTTGACTCCACTTTGTGCTGAGGTGCAAGCAGCACTTGTGCTAGGTTCTGAAAAGAGAAAGCAGTCTTTCTGTCATGCACTTGTACGGGCTATATTCAAAAAGACATGATGATGAAATATAAAGATATTGTGAGGATTCTACTCAGTTAAGTCAGCTGTGCATTAAGCAGATGTGAACATCAGTCCTACACTAGAATAGAAACATCCTGTACCTTGAGTTGACTCAAGACTCCCAGGTGGTGAGGGACCAGTAGTCTCCTTGATCAGGAAAGCCAGCTCTGGTGGAAGGGGCACGGATCTCTTCCTTTTCACACCGGACGAGGTTGATGCAGCTGCAGGAAAGTGAATAAGCTCATCATTAATTTCGTGAAATTGCAATAAACACAATTGATTACGTTATGTGATAATTTTACACTTCATAACGTTAATATCATTATCCCTCTTACCCGACATCAATCTGTTCTCTTGTAGTATGTAGGCTTGTGTATAAACAATATAGTGTAATGGAGCAGAGTTCCTTGTATGTGTAAAGAAAACTAGCTACTTCAGCGAGTATAGATTCTATTTCTGATACAGCAACGGTATTACAATATTTTTACCTTCATCCTGTGAGGCCTGCAGTTCAGAAGCAGTGGTCAGCAGAGGTTTGGACAGCGTTGCAGATGGAACTAGAAGAGCCAAAATAATCAATCATTTCAAAATTCACAAAATATTCAGATGTTTTTGTTAGTAGGAAATTAATCAGTCAAGCTTACTTCTCCTGCTTCTCAAAATTAGTGTTGTTAAATTGTTATAGACACACCAAACAAACTTAAAGTACTAATCACGACTCTCTAGTCTAAGCAGGAGGAGCATTATGACTTAATGAACACGCATGCATTTAAGTGCTAGTTCATATGTTTCTCTTTTAATACAACATGCGTAGAAAAGAAATTGCTTACTTACCCTCACGGCGTTTGCCATCAATTCATCATGGCAGTGATCAATTCATAGTCCTTAGGACAGTTTTTTATAACACCAGCTAACAGTATTATTAAAGGAACACGGCCAGAACATGGCCAGAACACAAAGAACACAAAGAACACAAAGAACACAAAGAACACAAAGAACACAAAGAAATAGTTAAAGTTGAGGTTCAGTTTTGAGAGACAAGTCATCATGAATATGAACTGTACTCCTGAAACCCGTTGTTTAAAAACCTGTCTTTGCTCCTGGGGACACTCCTGGGGACACTCCTGGGGACACTCCTGGGAACACTCCTGGGAACACTCCTGGTATGGCAGCTGCTGGTGTGGATGCTGCTGGCGCAACAACTGGTTATGAACAGAAAATGGGAAATAACAGATGTCAGATACAACACAGAGTTTGCCACCGTCAGTTTTGACAATTAGTCAGTGTGATAAAAGCGCACTTACAGGTCCGCACGTGTGGTTTGGAGGATTTCATGGTCATCATGGCACTCTCCAGCTCTTCATCCTCGTCCATCGCTGTGGTCCAAACAAATATTACAGGGTACAAAAAAGAATAAGTTCACCCAAATTAGGATAGGTTTAAAGTATTAGTCACATGTCATCAGATGTGGCAAATAACAATATATAATAATAAATTTACCCATGGGTTTGGAGACACTTGCAGCCTGTTCCTCGGGTGGGGAAGCTGAGGCCGATCGCTGCCTCTTCTGCAGGTACTGCTGCAGCTTAAACATGCGCGTACCTGGGACGCAGACCTTCCCCAAAACGAAGGCCGCATAGCCATCAGCTCTGCTGTCCCAAATCTCCTTCCAGGTACTTTTCCCACGAGTGCCAAAGCCAACCAGCTGGTCATCTTCCGATGAAGCTGCCAGAACACCAACTCCACTTGCCTCATAGGTTCGGAGAGACTGGATCTCATCAAAATCGAGGGCGTAATTGACGAATGACTGCAGGCTGTCCTTGGCATGTCCAGCAGTCACGGTGACGCCTGATGCCTCCTCCTTCTCCACGTTTTTAATCAGGTACATTGTGTATCCGATGTCGTTTTCCAGAAGCCACCGGAAAGATTTCCCTTTGTATTTCCCAAACTGCAGGATGTAGTCCCCCAGCACCTCTGCCCGATCTGAGGCGTCCCCTCCTCTCTGACGGACCACAGCCAGGGCATTCTGGTGTACGAGGTCTGCCCGTGTGGGTGCAGACTTGTCCTGCAGAGTGGCGTCCTCTTTGATTCTCCTGGCTTCCTTCGATGGCTCCTGGAGGAGAAATCCGAGTGGTCCCTTGCGGAACACAACGCAGATTTTCCCCGGGAAGAAAGTCATCGTCTTCTGCATTTTTCTGTAATATGAGAAAAAAATAGAAGTTTAAGGTTTATTTTAATCAGATACTTTAAGAGGGTATTTGTGAAATACGTTTAACAAATTTCACAAGAATATTTCAGATCACATGTTATCATCCTGCTTAAATAGAATCAGCCAATTTAACATCTAACAGCTTTAAAACTTCTATGATCTTCAGTAAAAAGTTCAGAAGGTCAAGAAGACAATAGCTTTTCACACCTTTTTGATCTTCACCTGATCTAAGATCTAAGGGGGAGGAAGTGTGGACATCAGAGAGTCTGTCTGAGAACTTCAGGGGGTGTGTGTGGGTGTGTGGGTGTGTGTGTGTGGGGTGGGGGGGTGCACAGCATGTGTGCAGAACACTAGAGGAGGGAGTGAGAGGGGCAGTAGTTGTGGGAAAAAAAATATATGTGCCTGATCAGCAACGTTTAAGTGTATGAGTTTAGAGAAGGGCAAATGGGGTAGGAGAGGAGACCCAAACTATGAAAAATTAGGATATTCATTCAAAATTTACCGCGGTATACACAAAACTTGTCTGACAGAAAAGGCGCTCAAATCTTGTCACATCAAGCTAGTACCGGCATAACCCGACAGTACTACTGCACTGTTACTGTACATATACGAACTACCTGCTTACTTCATGTGACCATTAAGCAGATAACATTTGTTAAAACATCGGTATCAAATGCTTTAGGTTTGAAGCATACTGTAAAATTATGTATTCATGTTATATTCATTTGAATCACTCTCTCTATAATCTAGCGCTAAATTTCAGATCTGATCTCTCACCGAGCGGGCGATTCTTATTAATTACACAAAATCAGTTTCAGTAACTTTTAGCGTTAATGAACATAGAAACTGGAAAAGAAATACCCAAAACTATGAATAAAATATCATATTCATTCAAAATTCACCGCGGTATACACCAAAACTTGTCTGACAGAAAATGCGCTCAGATTTTGTCACATCAAGCTAGTACCGGCATAACCCGACAGTACTACTGCACCGTTACTGTACATGTACATATACGAACTACCTGCTTCAAACCACGGGTGATAAGTCCGTAAATTGATCCTATAGTTTTACATTTTAATGCCAAACAAATTCTCTTACCTTCAATAGACAGTGATGAGATCACAATTCGGAGAGAGTTGTAGACGGTGTGTTGCCTCCAGCGAAGTGCGCTCCGAATGAAGGATTGTCAGGCGCTACACAACTTTAGGAGCGGAGCTCGGGACAGCGCCACAAAAAAATACCAGTGGCCAAAAGTATATTACATCCGTAGTGGTTTAGCACTACCATAGAGAATGAATGGGAATCGGTTTAGGGCCGTTTAGCTAAACAATTCTCGCTGCTCGCGCGGGAGGCCCGGGTTCGATTCCCGGCCAATGCACAGAGTGAGTTTTGAATTGGGCAAAGGTGCCGCATGGTGTGCAGTCAGGCCAAAGAAAACTTGCCGGCAAAGGATCCACCCATGACTGTTCAGCTCGACGCGCAAACATGCTTGAAAACTACACCACAGCCCAGCACACATAAGCTCAAACTTTGCCATGCAAAGCCTTGTACACAGTGACGTCGACAAGCTCCCCTTTTAACACAAAGTATTTTGGTCAGAAGCTGGCTTTCAACCCACTCACCTGAGAGAAGCTGCTTCCCAGACTCCAATCCTACAACCGCTTTCCCATGGTGTCCTCTTGCGGCCCTGTCATTGGCAAAGTGTTGCTCAAAGATAAAGAGGTTGACGCTCAACCACAGTACGTGGCCACACATAAAGTAGCATGGCCAGAGCCCAGTGTGAACCGGCAGAGTGAGCAGACTGCACTTTTGACTGGATGGCCACATTGGATCAAAGGTTACAAGACAACCAAAGGGACACCAGTCGCCCCTGAAGCGGAAGGCAAAAGCATCTGCAAGAGGTTGGGGATAGTGCAGAGATGTTTTTTTCTCCCAAAAACCAGTACGGTGAAACTCATGCTGGCGCTGTTGCGCGGCGACGCCCCGCCAGGGAGCAGCACCAGGAGCATTGGTGGTTCAGTGGTAGAATTCTCGCCTGCCACGCGGGAGGCCCGGGTTCGATTCCCGGCCAATGCACAGAGTGAGTTTTGAATTGGGCAAAGGTGCCGCATAGTGTGCAGTCAGTCCAAAGAAAACTTGCCGGCAAAGGATCCGCCCATGACTGTTCAGCTCGACGCGCAAACATGCTTGAAAACTACACCACAGCCCAGCACACATAAGCTCAAACTTTGCCATGCAAAGCCTTGTACACAGTGACGTCGACAAGCTCCCCTTTTAACACAAAGCATTTTGGTCAGAAGCTGGCTTTCAACCCACTCACCTGAGAGAAGCTGCTTCCCAGACTCCAATCCTACAACCGCTTTCCCATGGTGTCCTCTTGCGGCCCTGTCATTGGCAAAGTGTTGCTCAAAGATAAAGAGGTTGACGCTCAACCACAGTACGTGGCCACACATAAAGTAGCATGGCCAGAGCCCAGTGTGAACCGGCAGAGTGAGCAGACTGCACTTTTGACTGGATGGCCACATTGGATCAAAGGTTACAAGACAACCAAAGGGACACCAGTCGCCCCTGAAGCGGAAGGCAAAAGCATCTGCAAGAGGTTGGGGATAGTGCAGAGATGTTTTTTTCTCCCAAAAACCAGTACGGTGAAACTCATGCTGGCGCTGTTGCGCGGCGACGCCCCGCCAGGGAGCAGCACCAGGAGCATTGGTGGTTCAGTGGTAGAATTCTCGCCTGCCACGCGGGAGGCCCGGGTTCGATTCCCGGCCAATGCACAGAGTGAGTTTTGAATTGGGCAAAGGTGCCGCATGGTGTGCAGTCAGGCCAAAGAAAACTTGCCGGCAAAGGATCCGCCCATGACTGTTCAGCTCGACGCGCAAACATGCTTGAAAACTACACCACAGCCCAGCACACATAAGCTCAAACTTTGCCATGCAAAGCCTTGTACACAGTGACGTCGACAAGCTCCCCTTTTAACACAAAGCATTTTGGTCAGAAGCTGGCTTTCAACCCACTCACCTGAGAGAAGCTGCTTCCCAGACTCCAATCCTACAACCGCTTTCCCATGGTGTCCTCTTGCGGCCCTGTCATTGGCAAAGTGTTGCTCAAAGATAAAGAGGTTGACGCTCAACCACAGTACGTGGCCACACATAAAGTAGCATGGCCAGAGCCCAGTGTGAACCGGCAGAGTGAGCAGACTGCACTTTTGACTGGATGGCCACATTGGATCAAAGGTTACAAGACAACCAAAGGGACACCAGTCGCCCCTGAAGCGGAAGGCAAAAGCATCTGCAAGAGGTTGGGGATAGTGCAGAGATGTTTTTTTCTCCCAAAAACCAGTACGGTGAAACTCATGCTGGCGCTGTTGCGCGGCGACGCCCCGCCAGAGAGCAGCACCAGGAGCATTGGTGGTTCAGCGGTAGAATTCTCGCCTGCCACGCGGGAGGCCCGGGTTCGATTCCCGGCCAATGCACAGAGTGAGTTTTGAATTGGGCAAAGCTGCCGCATGGTGTGCAGTCAGGCCAAAGAAAACTTGCCGGCAAAGGATCCGCCCATGACTGTTCAGCTCGACGCGCAAACATGCTTGAAAACTACACCACAGCCCAGCACACATAAGCTCAAACTTTGCCATGCAAAGCCTTGTACACAGTGACGTCGACAAGCTCCCCTTTTAACACAAAGCATTTTGGTCAGAAGCTGGCTTTCAACCCACTCACCTGAGAGAAGCTGCTTCCCAGACTCCAATCCTACAACCGCTTTCCCATGGTGTCCTCTTGCGGCCCTGTCATTGGCAAAGTGTTGCTCAAAGATAAAGAGGTTGACGCTCAACCACAGTACGTGGCCACACATAAAGTAGCATGGCCAGAGCCCAGTGTGAACCGGCAGAGTGAGCAGACTGCACTTTTGACTGGATGGCCACATTGGATCAAAGGTTACAAGACAACCAAAGGGACACCAGTCGCCCCTGAAGCGGAAGGCAAAAGCATCTGCAAGAGGTTGGGGATAGTGCAGAGATGTTTTTTTCTCCCAAAAACCAGTACGGTGAAACTCATGCTGGCGCTGTTGCGCGGCGACGCCCCGCCAGGGAGCAGCACCAGGAGCATTGGTGGTTCAGTGGTAGAATTCTCGCCTGCCACGCGGGAGGCCCGGGTTCGATTCCCGGCCAATGCACAGAGTGAGTTTTGAATTGGGCAAAGGTGCCGCATAGTGTGCAGTCAGGCCAAAGAAAACTTGCCGGCAAAGGATCCGCCCATGACTGTTCAGCTCGACGCGCAAACATGCTTGAAAACTACACCACAGCCCAGCACACATAAGCTCAAACTTTGCCATGCAAAGCCTTGTACACAGTGACGTCGACAAGCTCCCCTTTTAACACAAAGCATTTTGGTCAGAAGCTGGCTTTCAACCCACTCACCTGAGAGAAGCTGCTTCCCAGACTCCAATCCTACAACCGCTTTCCCATGGTGTCCTCTTGCGGCCCTGTCATTGGCAAAGTGTTGCTCAAAGATAAAGAGGTTGACGCTCAACCACAGTACGTGGCCACACATAAAGTAGCATGGCCAGAGCCCAGTGTGAACCGGCAGAGTGAGCAGACTGCACTTTTGACTGGATGGCCACATTGGATCAAAGGTTACAAGACAACCAAAGGGACACCAGTCGCCCCTTAAGCGGAAGGCAAAAGCATCTGCAAGAGGTTGGGGATAGTGCAGAGATGTTTTTTTCTCCCAAAAACCAGTACGGTGAAACTCATGCTGGCGCTGTTGCGCGGCGACGCCCCGCCAGGGAGCAGCACCAGGAGCATTGGTGGTTCAGTGGTAGAATTCTCGCCTGCCACGCGGGAGGCCCGGGTTCGATTCCCGGCCAATGCACAGAGTGAGTTTTGAATTGGGCAAAGGTGCCGCATGGTGTGCAGTCAGGCCAAAGAAAACTTGCCGGCAAAGGATCCGCCCATGACTGTTCAGCTCGACGCGCAAACATGCTTGAAAACTACACCACAGCCCAGCACACATAAGCTCAAACTTTGCCATGCAAAGCCTTGTACACAGTGACGTCGACAAGCTCCCCTTTTAACACAAAGTATTTTGGTCAGAAGCTGGCTTTCAACCCACTCACCTGAGAGAAGCTGCTTCCCAGACTCCAATCCTACAACCGCTTTCCCATGGTGTCCTCTTGCGGCCCTGTCATTGGCAAAGTGTTGCTCAAAGATAAAGAGGTTGACGCTCAACCACAGTACGTGGCCACACATAAAGTAGCATGGCCAGAGCCCAGTGTGAACCGGCAGAGTGAGCAGACTGCACTTTTGACTGGATGGCCACATTGGATCAAAGGTTACAAGACAACCAAAGGGACACCAGTCGCCCCTGAAGCGGAAGGCAAAAGCATCTGCAAGAGGTTGGGGATAGTGCAGAGATGTTTTTTTCTCCCAAAAACCAGTACGGTGAAACTCATGCTGGCGCTGTTGCGCGGCGACGCCCCGCCAGGGAGCAGCACCAGGAGCATTGGTGGTTCAGTGGTAGAATTCTCGCCTGCCACGCGGGAGGCCCGGGTTCGATTCCCGGCCAATGCACAGAGTGAGTTTTGAATTGGGCAAAGGTGCCGCATAGTGTGCAGTCAGGCCAAAGAAAACTTGCCGGCAAAGGATCCGCCCATGACTGTTCAGCTCGACGCGCAAACATGCTTGAAAACTACACCACAGCCCAGCACACATAAGCTCAAACTTTGCCATGCAAAGCCTTGTACACAGTGACGTCGACAAGCTCCCCTTTTAACACAAAGCATTTTGGTCAGAAGCTGGCTTTCAACCCACTCACCTGAGAGAAGCTGCTTCCCAGACTCCAATCCTACAACCGCTTTCCCATGGTGTCCTCTTGCGGCCCTGTCATTGGCAAAGTGTTGCTCAAAGATAAAGAGGTTGACGCTCAACCACAGTACGTGGCCACACATAAAGTAGCATGGCCAGAGCCCAGTGTGAACCGGCAGAGTGAGCAGACTGCACTTTTGACTGGATGGCCACATTGGATCAAAGGTTACAAGACAACCAAAGGGACACCAGTCGCCCCTGAAGCGGAAGGCAAAAGCATCTGCAAGAGGTTGGGGATAGTGCAGAGATGTTTTTTTCTCCCAAAAACCAGTACGGTGAAACTCATGCTGGCGCTGTTGCGCGGCGACGCCCCGCCAGGGAGCAGCACCAGGAGCATTGGTGGTTCAGTGGTAGAATTCTCGCCTGCCACGCGGGAGGCCCGGGTTCGATTCCCGGCCAATGCACAGAGTGAGTTTTGAATTGGGCAAAGCTGCCGCATGGTGTGCAGTCAGGCCAAAGAAAACTTGCCGGCAAAGGATCCGCCCATGACTGTTCAGCTCGACGCGCAAACATGCTTGAAAACTACACCACAGCCCAGCACACATAAGCTCAAACTTTGCCATGCAAAGCCTTGTACACAGTGACGTCGACAAGCTCCCCTTTTAACACAAAGCATTTTGGTCAGAAGCTGGCTTTCAACCCACTCACCTGAGAGAAGCTGCTTCCCAGACTCCAATCCTACAACCGCTTTCCCATGGTGTCCTCTTGCGGCCCTGTCATTGGCAAAGTGTTGCTCAAAGATAAAGAGGTTGACGCTCAACCACAGTACGTGGCCACACATAAAGTAGCATGGCCAGAGCCCAGTGTGAACCGGCAGAGTGAGCAGACTGCACTTTTGACTGGATGGCCACATTGGATCAAAGGTTACAAGACAACCAAAGGGACACCAGTCGCCCCTGAAGCGGAAGGCAAAAGCATCTGCAAGAGGTTGGGGATAGTGCAGAGATGTTTTTTCTCCCAAAAACCAGTACGGTGAAACTCATGCTGGCGCTGTTGCGCGGCGACGCCCCGCCAGAGAGCAGCACCAGGAGCATTGGTGGTTCAGCGGTAGAATTCTCGCCTGCCACGCGGGAGGCCCGGGTTCGATTCCCGGCCAATGCACAGAGTGAGTTTTGAATTGGGCAAAGCTGCCGCATGGTGTGCAGTCAGGCCAAAGAAAACTTGCCGGCAAAGGATCCGCCCATGACTGTTCAGCTCGACGCGCAAACATGCTTGAAAACTACACCACAGCCCAGCACACATAAGCTCAAACTTTGCCATGCAAAGCCTTGTACACAGTGACGTCGACAAGCTCCCCTTTTAACACAAAGCATTTTGGTCAGAAGCTGGCTTTCAACCCACTCACCTGAGAGAAGCTGCTTCCCAGACTCCAATCCTACAACCGCTTTCCCATGGTGTCCTCTTGCGGCCCTGTCATTGGCAAAGTGTTGCTCAAAGATAAAGAGGTTGACGCTCAACCACAGTACGTGGCCACACATAAAGTAGCATGGCCAGAGCCCAGTGTGAACCGGCAGAGTGAGCAGACTGCACTTTTGACTGGATGGCCACATTGGATCAAAGGTTACAAGACAACCAAAGGGACACCAGTCGCCCCTGAAGCGGAAGGCAAAAGCATCTGCAAGAGGTTGGGGATAGTGCAGAGATGTTTTTTTCTCCCAAAAACCAGTACGGTGAAACTCATGCTGGCGCTGTTGCGCGGCGACGCCCCGCCAGGGAGCAGCACCAGGAGCATTGGTGGTTCAGTGGTAGAATTCTCGCCTGCCACGCGGGAGGCCCGGGTTCGATTCCCGGCCAATGCACAGAGTGAGTTTTGAATTGGGCAAAGGTGCCGCATAGTGTGCAGTCAGGCCAAAGAAAACTTGCCGGCAAAGGATCCGCCCATGACTGTTCAGCTCGACGCGCAAACATGCTTGAAAACTACACCACAGCCCAGCACACATAAGCTCAAACTTTGCCATGCAAAGCCTTGTACACAGTGACGTCGACAAGCTCCCCTTTTAACACAAAGCATTTTGGTCAGAAGCTGGCTTTCAACCCACTCACCTGAGAGAAGCTGCTTCCCAGACTCCAATCCTACAACCGCTTTCCCATGGTGTCCTCTTGCGGCCCTGTCATTGGCAAAGTGTTGCTCAAAGATAAAGAGGTTGACGCTCAACCACAGTACGTGGCCACACATAAAGTAGCATGGCCAGAGCCCAGTGTGAACCGGCAGAGTGAGCAGACTGCACTTTTGACTGGATGGCCACATTGGATCAAAGGTTACAAGACAACCAAAGGGACACCAGTCGCCCCTTAAGCGGAAGGCAAAAGCATCTGCAAGAGGTTGGGGATAGTGCAGAGATGTTTTTTTCTCCCAAAAACCAGTACGGTGAAACTCATGCTGGCGCTGTTGCGCGGCGACGCCCCGCCAGGGAGCAGCACCAGGAGCATTGGTGGTTCAGTGGTAGAATTCTCGCCTGCCACGCGGGAGGCCCGGGTTCGATTCCCGGCCAATGCACAGAGTGAGTTTTGAATTGGGCAAAGGTGCCGCATGGTGTGCAGTCAGGCCAAAGAAAACTTGCCGGCAAAGGATCCGCCCATGACTGTTCAGCTCGACGCGCAAACATGCTTGAAAACTACACCACAGCCCAGCACACATAAGCTCAAACTTTGCCATGCAAAGCCTTGTACACAGTGACGTCGACAAGCTCCCCTTTTAACACAAAGTATTTTGGTCAGAAGCTGGCTTTCAACCCACTCACCTGAGAGAAGCTGCTTCCCAGACTCCAATCCTACAACCGCTTTCCCATGGTGTCCTCTTGCGGCCCTGTCATTGGCAAAGTGTTGCTCAAAGATAAAGAGGTTGACGCTCAACCACAGTACGTGGCCACACATAAAGTAGCATGGCCAGAGCCCAGTGTGAACCGGCAGAGTGAGCAGACTGCACTTTTGACTGGATGGCCACATTGGATCAAAGGTTACAAGACAACCAAAGGGACACCAGTCGCCCCTGAAGCGGAAGGCAAAAGCATCTGCAAGAGGTTGGGGATAGTGCAGAGATGTTTTTTTCTCCCAAAAACCAGTACGGTGAAACTCATGCTGGCGCTGTTGCGCGGCGACGCCCCGCCAGGGAGCAGCACCAGGAGCATTGGTGGTTCAGTGGTAGAATTCTCGCCTGCCACGCGGGAGGCCCGGGTTCGATTCCCGGCCAATGCACAGAGTGAGTTTTGAATTGGGCAAAGGTGCCGCATAGTGTGCAGTCAGGCCAAAGAAAACTTGCCGGCAAAGGATCCGCCCATGACTGTTCAGCTCGACGCGCAAACATGCTTGAAAACTACACCACAGCCCAGCACACATAAGCTCAAACTTTGCCATGCAAAGCCTTGTACACAGTGACGTCGACAAGCTCCCCTTTTAACACAAAGCATTTTGGTCAGAAGCTGGCTTTCAACCCACTCACCTGAGAGAAGCTGCTTCCCAGACTCCAATCCTACAACCGCTTTCCCATGGTGTCCTCTTGCGGCCCTGTCATTGGCAAAGTGTTGCTCAAAGATAAAGAGGTTGACGCTCAACCACAGTACGTGGCCACACATAAAGTAGCATGGCCAGAGCCCAGTGTGAACCGGCAGAGTGAGCAGACTGCACTTTTGACTGGATGGCCACATTGGATCAAAGGTTACAAGACAACCAAAGGGACACCAGTCGCCCCTGAAGCGGAAGGCAAAAGCATCTGCAAGAGGTTGGGGATAGTGCAGAGATGTTTTTTTCTCCCAAAAACCAGTACGGTGAAACTCATGCTGGCGCTGTTGCGCGGCGACGCCCCGCCAGGGAGCAGCACCAGGAGCATTGGTGGTTCAGTGGTAGAATTCTCGCCTGCCACGCGGGAGGCCCGGGTTCGATTCCCGGCCAATGCACAGAGTGAGTTTTGAATTGGGCAAAGCTGCCGCATGGTGTGCAGTCAGGCCAAAGAAAACTTGCCGGCAAAGGATCCGCCCATGACTGTTCAGCTCGACGCGCAAACATGCTTGAAAACTACACCACAGCCCAGCACACATAAGCTCAAACTTTGCCATGCAAAGCCTTGTACACAGTGACGTCGACAAGCTCCCCTTTTAACACAAAGCATTTTGGTCAGAAGCTGGCTTTCAACCCACTCACCTGAGAGAAGCTGCTTCCCAGACTCCAATCCTACAACCGCTTTCCCATGGTGTCCTCTTGCGGCCCTGTCATTGGCAAAGTGTTGCTCAAAGATAAAGAGGTTGACGCTCAACCACAGTACGTGGCCACACATAAAGTAGCATGGCCAGAGCCCAGTGTGAACCGGCAGAGTGAGCAGACTGCACTTTTGACTGGATGGCCACATTGGATCAAAGGTTACAAGACAACCAAAGGGACACCAGTCGCCCCTGAAGCGGAAGGCAAAAGCATCTGCAAGAGGTTGGGGATAGTGCAGAGATGTTTTTTTCTCCCAAAAACCAGTACGGTGAAACTCATGCTGGCGCTGTTGCGCGGCGACGCCCCGCCAGGGAGCAGCACCAGGAGCATTGGTGGTTCAGCGGTAGAATTCTCGCCTGCCACGCGGGAGGCCCGGGTTCGATTCCCGGCCAATGCACAGAGTGAGTTTTGAATTGGGCAAAGCTGCCGCATGGTGTGCAGTCAGGCCAAAGAAAACTTGCCGGCAAAGGATCCGCCCATGACTGTTCAGCTCGACGCGCAAACATGCTTGAAAACTACACCACAGCCCAGCACACATAAGCTCAAACTTTGCCATGCAAAGCCTTGTACACAGTGACGTCGACAAGCTCCCCTTTTAACACAAAGCATTTTGGTCAGAAGCTGGCTTTCAACCCACTCACCTGAGAGAAGCTGCTTCCCAGACTCCAATCCTACAACCGCTTTCCCATGGTGTCCTCTTGCGGCCCTGTCATTGGCAAAGTGTTGCTCAAAGATAAAGAGGTTGACGCTCAACCACAGTACGTGGCCACACATAAAGTAGCATGGCCAGAGCCCAGTGTGAACCGGCAGAGTGAGCAGACTGCACTTTTGACTGGATGGCCACATTGGATCAAAGGTTACAAGACAACCAAAGGGACACCAGTCGCCCCTGAAGCGGAAGGCAAAAGCATCTGCAAGAGGTTGGGGATAGTGCAGAGATGTTTTTTTCTCCCAAAAACCAGTACGGTGAAACTCATGCTGGCGCTGTTGCGTGGCGACGCCCCGCCAGGGAGCAGCACCAGGAGCATTGGTGGTTCAGTGGTAGAATTCTCGCCTGCCACGCGGGAGGCCCGGGTTCGATTCCCGGCCAATGCACAGAGTGAGTTTTGAATTGGGCAAAGCTGCCGCATGGTGTGCAGTCAGGCCAAAGAAAACTTGCCGGCAAAGGATCCGCCCATGACTGTTCAGCTCGACGCGCAAACATGCTTGAAAACTACACCACAGCCCAGCACACATAAGCTCAAACTTTGCCATGCAAAGCCTTGTACACAGTGACGTCGACAAGCTCCCCTTTTAACACAAAGCATTTTGGTCAGAAGCTGGCTTTCAACCCACTCACCTGAGAGAAGCTGCTTCCCAGACTCCAATCCTACAACCGCTTTCCCATGGTGTCCTCTTGCGGCCCTGTCATTGGCAAAGTGTTGCTCAAAGATAAAGAGGTTGACGCTCAACCACAGTACGTGGCCACACATAACGTAGCATGGCCATAGCCCAGTGTGAACCGGCAGAGTGAGCAGACTGCACTTTTGACTGGATGGCCACATTGGATCAAAGGTTACAAGACAACCAAAGGGACACCAGTCGCCCCTGAAGCGGAAGGCAAAAGCATCTGCAAGAGGTTGGGGATAGTGCAGAGATGTTTTTTTCTCCCAAAAACCAGTACGGTGAAACTCATGCTGGCGCTGTTGCGCGGCGACGCCCCGCCAGGGAGCAGCACCAGGAGCATTGGTGGTTCAGTGGTAGAATTATCGCCTGCCACGCGGGAGGCCCGGGTTCGATTCCCGGCCAATGCACAGAGTGAGTTTTGAATTGGGCAAAGCTGCCGCATGGTGTGCAGTCAGGCCAAAGAAAACTTGCCGGCAAAGGATCCGCCCATGACTGTTCAGCTCGACGCGCAAACATGCTTGAAAACTACACCACAGCCCAGCACACATAAGCTCAAACTTTGCCATGCAAAGCCTTGTACACAGTGACGTCGACAAGCTCCCCTTTTAACACAAAGCATTTTGGTCAGAAGCTGGCTTTCAACCCACTCACCTGAGAGAAGCTGCTTCCCAGACTCCAATCCTACAACCGCTTTCCCATGGTGTCCTCTTGCGGCCCTGTCATTGGCAAAGTGTTGCTCAAAGATAAAGAGGTTGACGCTCAACCACAGTACGTGGCCACACATAAAGTAGCATGGCCAGAGCCCAGTGTGAACCGGCAGAGTGAGCAGACTGCACTTTTGACTGGATGGCCACATTGGATCAAAGGTTACAAGACAACCAAAGGGACACCAGTCGCCCCTTAAGCGGAAGGCAAAAGCATCTGCAAGAGGTTGGGGATAGTGCAGAGATGTTTTTTTCTCCCAAAAACCAGTACGGTGAAACTCATGCTGGCGCTGTTGCGCGGCGACGCCCCGCCAGGGAGCAGCACCAGGAGCATTGGTGGTTCAGTGGTAGAATTCTCGCCTGCCACGCGGGAGGCCCGGGTTCGATTCCCGGCCAATGCACAGAGTGAGTTTTGAATTGGGCAAAGGTGCTGCATGGTGTGCAGTCAGGCCAAAGAAAACTTGCCGGCAAAGGATCCGCCCATGACTGTTCAGCTCGACGCGCAAACATGCTTGAAAACTACACCACAGCCCAGCACACATAAGCTCAAACTTTGCCATGCAAAGCCTTGTACACAGTGACGTCGACAAGCTCCCCTTTTAACACAAAGTATTTTGGTCAGAAGCTGGCTTTCAACCCACTCACCTGAGAGAAGCTGCTTCCCAGACTCCAATCCTACAACCGCTTTCCCATGGTGTCCTCTTGCGGCCCTGTCATTGGCAAAGTGTTGCTCAAAGATAAAGAGGTTGACGCTCAACCACAGTACGTGGCCACACATAAAGTAGCATGGCCAGAGCCCAGTGTGAACCGGCAGAGTGAGCAGACTGCACTTTTGACTGGATGGCCACATTGGATCAAAGGTTACAAGACAACCAAAGGGACACCAGTCGCCCCTGAAGCGGAAGGCAAAAGCATCTGCAAGAGGTTGGGGATAGTGCAGAGATGTTTTTTTCTCCCAAAAACCAGTACGGTGAAACTCATGCTGGCGCTGTTGCGCGGCGACGCCCCGCCAGGGAGCAGCACCAGGAGCATTGGTGGTTCAGTGGTAGAATTCTCGCCTGCCACGCGGGAGGCCCGGGTTCGATTCCCGGCCAATGCACAGAGTGAGTTTTGAATTGGGCAAAGCTGCCGCATGGTGTGCAGTCAGGCCAAAGAAAACTTGCCGGCAAAGGATCCGCCCATGACTGTTCAGCTCGACGCGCAAACATGCTTGAAAACTACACCACAGCCCAGCACACATAAGCTCAAACTTTGCCATGCAAAGCCTTGTACACAGTGACGTCGACAAGCTCCCCTTTTAACACAAAGCATTTTGGTCAGAAGCTGGCTTTCAACCCACTCACCTGAGAGAAGCTGCTTCCCAGACTCCAATCCTACAACCGCTTTCCCATGGTGTCCTCTTGCGGCCCTGTCATTGGCAAAGTGTTGCTCATAGATAAAGAGGTTGACGCTCAACCACAGTACGTGGCCACACATAAAGTAGCATGGCCAGAGCCCAGTGTGAACCGGCAGAGTGAGCAGACTGCACTTTTGACTGGATGGCCACATTGGATCAAAGGTTACAAGACAACCAAAGGGACACCAGTCGCCCCTTAAGCGGAAGGCAAAAGCATCTGCAAGAGGTTGGGGATAGTGCAGAGATGTTTTTTTCTCCCAAAAACCAGTACGGTGAAACTCATGCTGGCGCTGTTGCGCGGCGACGCCCCGCCAGGGAGCAGCACCAGGAGCATTGGTGGTTCAGTGGTAGAATTCTCGCCTGCCACGCGGGGGCCGGTTGCGAATAGCTGTAACAGAGAAACAGCCAATAGGATTAAAGTATGTTTTTTTTTTTAATTCAAGGGGTCTGAATTCGGGTTCGAATCCCCACTCAGACATCTGAGAAAAGATGAGATTTACAAAACAAGAACTTTACTCGTCCCCAGAGGGGAATTAATTGTCTTGAATCTCATGAAAGAATTTCCCTCTGGGATTAAGTATCTATCTATCTATCTATCTATCTATCTAATATAATCTCATCTATCTAATGAACAGCACAACTTCTCCTGGACAGTTCTGTGTGAAGACTTACACCATCTCTGGTTCCTTTCTTCTTGCCACTCATTTCAGCATCTTTCTCTGACCTTATGACAGTAAAGCCAGTAGATCCCCACTGGAGTCTGAGTTGTTTTGATTCAACCAGGTTTCAGTAACACTTAGGAGACTGCACTTACAGTATGCTCTTGTAGAAGTACCTGAAGTTCATGGTTGCTTTCTTTGTTTCATACACGCATGAAATCAAGTACACCTTCTAAAAAGTAATAATGAGAGTTTGAGACCACATTAAAATGTCTATGCTGGTGAACCAGAAACAGTAAATCTTGGCATCATATTATTTTGATTCCAAGCTGTAAAAAAGAGACGTAGATTTCAATTTTGAACATGTAAAAAGTTTAATTGACAAAAAAGTTATAATACTCAGGAATATAATAAAATATATAATATAAATATTATAATAAAATAAAATATATAATACAATATATAATACAATAAAATTATTCTTATTATATCTAGATAATATATACTTTTTTTCTACCAATGAAAGAAACACTTATAAACTACTATAAACAAATTGACAACAAAGTTACAATATTCAGTAATATAATAAATAATATTCAGTAACACAATAAAATATATAATAGAATAAAATATATAATAGAATATGTAATACAATAAAGTTATTCTTATTCTTATAATAATAGTAATAGATATTTACATTTTTTCATCATCTGCCAATGACAGAAACACCTATGAACTACTATAAACAAATTGACAAGCAAGTTATAATATTCAGTACCATCATAAATAATATTCCTTACTATAATAAAAAATATAATAAGTATATATAATAGTATATATAATATATGATTGAATCTGGCTCAACATTTAACAACAACTATAGTAACAACAACAACAAATTATTCTTGTATTCATATTTACATATATACAGACATATTTTCAAGAATAATTTTTTCATTTACACATAAACACATATATACATTTATACATATATACAAATATGGAAACAAACTATGTCCTTTCATCCTTCCATCTTTGTTTCTCCATCTCATAGAAAGGAGACCCACAAAACTCCTTCCAGCTCAGCTCCCTGGTCATTCCCTTGCTGCGATATAGAGACAGCACCTTCGAAGGGCAGTAAATATATTTCCCTGCCACTCCTGGGAAGCCAGTATGAACGTGAGGACTGTTTGGCCCCTGTTTCAGTCCCTGCTGACAGAACCGACAGAGGCGGCCAGCTTGATGTGCGTCTGGCTGTTTCCTTTTTTTCTCCTCCACCCGTTTTTTTGTTTCCTCCAGCTCCCTCTGGAAAAACTCCGTCTGCGCAAACTCCTCGAAGGGCATCTTGGCATCTGAAAGCCCCTCAGCAGCATAGCTTTGATGCACTTTCTTTGAGCAGTAGAAATAGCGGACGGGCCCCTGCTGGTAAAAAAAGTGGACCGAGGATCCATCGGTCTCGTATCGAGACTTGGGCTGTCCGCAAGCGAGACAAGTCTTTGTCTGCCTTTTCTTCTGCTCTGGCTGGGGCTGTTGTTGCTGATACTGCTGCTGTTTTTCCAAGATGCCCTCCACAATTTTCTCCAGGGAGTCTTGGGTCAGAGGTGTGGGCAGGGCAGGTGTAGGGGGCCTGACAATAGCCGCCTCCATGGTGACCACAGGAACGCTAGACGTGACACTCCCCTCTGTTAAAGAGTGCCACAGCTGCTGGGTTTCCTCGAGTTTTTCCGGGCTAGTGTTCAAGGAGGAGCTGGTGTTAAGGAGCTTTGCCAGGTGCCTCACATATCTAGATATGTGGAGCTTGGTGGTGGGGTGCAGCAAGCTGTTTGGATCCGTGGCTGACTGATGGACCATCTCAGCATAATCCTGATCCACAAGCTTCAGGCTGTCCTTCCGGCCGTGGTGCTTCTGCAGCAGTTTATCGATTGCCACCTTCATGGGCGCTGTCCAGCGTGTGTGGTCCAACACAAAAACTCTGCCTCCAGTTTTTATGGGACCAGTGCGGGCACTTCGTGGGGAGGCACTCACAGGCAGGGGGAGGGCATGTGAGATTTCTGGAACACATAAAGCAATAATAGTTCCTCAGTTAATCATGTTATTTTAGTACAATATTATGACAAGCAACTGTAATGTCTGTAATGTTCTGTAACTGTAATGTTCCTGCAGGGATAAATAAATCATTTCTGATTCTGGCTTACCCCTTGCTGCTGAAGGACCCTGAACTTCTTCAGGTGGCATCTCCTGCCTTGGCAGAGCACCAGCAGAGACTGGAGGGCGGATGGATGGTGCCGGTCCAGAGAATGGCACATCGTGAGCTTGTTCCTCAGCAGGAGCAGCAGGTGTATGCAGGGGAGGCGGCGGCGGCATCTGAGCAGCAGGCTGATCCCTCTTGAGCGTCCTGTGCTTGTCCCAGTCCAGCGGGACAGGACGGCAGCCTGGCTCGCTGTACTGGAGGCCGAACCTCTCTCCAGTGTCCCTGTCAGAGAGGAGAAATGCCGGATACTTCTCCTGCCCTGTCACTCGCATAGACGCAGCGTTCAGCTCGCACATCAGAGCTGGGTCAAAAACAGCGGGGAGGATGACACCTGGCTGTTTAAGATCCACCAGCCGCTGGTAGTTCCACCGGGCTACCCCTGTCATGCCCTGGGCCTGGAACAATTCAGGGGAGACGTTCGTGCCAGTGACCCATTGAGCCTGGTGGAAATGGTACCCCTCTTGCTGTGACGTGCCTCTGACAGGGATCCAGATAGGGACTTTGGCACCTTCACCAGGTACGTGGTTCAGCTGAAGAGTGCCTCCGTACCTATACATTATGCCCTCCGAGAGTTCAGGGTCACTGAGGCACCCACGGAGAATGTGGACTCTCTGGATCCGCCACGTCTTCAGCATGGATGCCTTGAAGAGTGGGACGTTGTTAGGGTCCGTCGCCAGGTGGAAGTGACTCAGGACCCTCTCCACTCTGTCCAGCAGCTCTGTTGGTCTGGGTATTTTAATCCTGCAGTGCTCCCGTATGTGCTGTTTCGTGGGATTTGCAGGATGAATACCGCAGAACCTGTAGGCATCCTGAAGCTTTTTAAGTCTTCCTGATCCACAACAGAGAAGGCAGCGGAGAGCAGCTGGCAGAAGGTGCTGTACAGAGGGTGATGCTCAGAGGTGCACTCCCTGGAAAAGCGCCTCAGGCAGTGAAACAAGTCCAGTTTCACAACAATGCCAGCATTGTAATGTGAACGTGAGGCACAGGTGTTCACAAGACTTCCAGAGGTCGCTCCGGCAATAATGGATGGGGTGGTCTTCCAGGCATCCCAGTCCAGATGCTCAAAAGGGCTGCTGTCAGCGATTTTAAATGCAGCACAGCAATCCCTAATGTAAGGCACAAAGACACAGAAGGATTAAAATTAAAACTAGACACTAAATTGAATCAAAAATAAATGAATGAGTTAGTTTGTTAGTTAGTTAGTTTGAATGAAACTGAAAACAGCTGATGGCTCTGCTCACCTGTCCACCCAGTGGTAGCCTGCTTTTTCCACTCCGGCGTCGCTGTACCTCTTCGCCACCCCCTCGTACATCAGCTCCAGGGACCTCTCGCTTTCAGACTGAACCATCACCCAGGAGACAATGAGCCAGTGCTCGTTCATCACGGCATAACTGGACATGACTCCTGAGGCTAAGGTCACCTTCCTTGCCACTCTCCTGGTGTGGTCAGACCTGAAAACACGCCCAAATGTTCCCTGAAGAAGCCTGGACAATGCTGGCTCCTGGCGTTTGAACTCCTCCAGCAGGCAGTCAGTCAGGTAGAACCCGGACACAGAGACTCCAGCCCAGCCATCTTGCTCGTCGTATGGCCCAAAAGCGCGTGGCTGGTTGTCCTTCCTCAGGAACTGTCCGATGGTTCTCTGACCGTGCACTCCAGCCTCAGCATCTCTCAGACTCTCGATGGCTTGGAGGTATGCCAGGTGAGCTCGCTCATACTTGAGGTGCATGAGCTCATTCACCTGGTTGGCCATGTCTGTTGGTGACTTCCCGGTGCGTCTCAGCTCATCCATGACAGACTTACAGATGGCTTTCTTGTAAGTCAGAAATGCAGGCAGAAGGTTGGTGAAGCGCCTGGGAAGTTTGTCAAGCCATCGTGGACTGTCGGCGAACCAGGTCTTTCGACAGGCCTTGCAGCAGAGTCGAGAGGAGAAGATAAAATATTGCCCGCTGGTGCCAACAACAACTCGAGGCCTGCCCACTCCTGCAGAGACCACCTGAGGATGAGGACAGCCGTGGAGACAGGGCAGGATATAATTGTTTCTCAGCCTGACCATGATGTGACTCTCAGGTTTCCAGATAAAAAATGGGTGGAGCTGGAAGAAGTTGGGGGACGGGAGCTCAGCCACTGAATCCAACAGCTCAGGTTGTGGAGGAAGACGCCACAAAGAAACTGCGTTCCCTGGGTTACGAACTGGGCGAGACCCAGGCCACAGCCCAAGATCCTGGAGCTCTGTCCTCATCCAGAGCTTTTGGTGATGAGAACAGCTCCAGCTGCTCATATCATGATCATGCGCAGGCACAGGAGCAGGGGCAGGGGCAGGAGCAGGAGCAGGAACAGGAACAAGAGCAGGAGCAGGAGGAGGGGGCTGAGCTGAGGAAACTAGGATAAAAATAAGACAATAGAACACAAGTGATTATTTTGATACAGATAATTATTAAAGGTTGCATGGTTTAAAGCAAAATCAACATAGCATGTTAGTATCAGGAGTCAGAAAAATTGAGGGAATGTTTACATTCTCTACATTCTTACCATCTCCAGCAGTGGCTTTAGGTTTGACTCCACTTTGTGCTGAGGTGCAAGCAGCACTTGTGCTAGGTTCTGAAAAGAGAAAGCAGTCTTTCTGTCATGCACTTGTACGGGCTATATTCAAAAAGACATGATGATGAAATATAAAGATATTGTGAGGATTCTACTCAGTTAAGTCAGCTGTGCATTAAGCAGATGTGAACATCAGTCCTACACTAGAATAGAAACATCCTGTACCTTGAGTTGACTCAAGACTCCCAGGTGGTGAGGGACCAGTAGTCTCCTTGATCAGGAAAGCCAGCTCTGGTGGAAGGGGCACGGATCTCTTCCTTTTCACACCGGACGAGGTTGATGCAGCTGCAGGAAAGTGAATAAGCTCATCATTAATTTCGTGAAATTGCAATAAACACAATTGATTACGTTATGTGATAATTTTACACTTCATAACGTTAATATCATTATCCCTCTTACCCGACATCAATCTGTTCTCTTGTAGTATGTAGGCTTGTGTATAAACAATATAGTGTAATGGAGCAGAGTTCCTTGTATGTGTAAAGAAAACTAGCTACTTCAGCGAGTATAGATTCTATTTCTGATACAGCAACGGTATTACAATATTTTTACCTTCATCCTGTGAGGCCTGCAGTTCAGAAGCAGTGGTCAGCAGAGGTTTGGACAGCGTTGCAGATGGAACTAGAAGAGCCAAAATAATCAATCATTTCAAAATTCACAAAATATTCAGATGTTTTTGTTAGTAGGAAATTAATCAGTCAAGCTTACTTCTCCTGCTTCTCAAAATTAGTGTTGTTAAATTGTTATAGACACACCAAACAAACTTAAAGTACTAATCACGACTCTCTAGTCTAAGCAGGAGGAGCATTATGACTTAATGAACACGCATGCATTTAAGTGCTAGTTCATATGTTTCTCTTTTAATACAACATGCGTAGAAAAGAAATTGCTTACTTACCCTCACGGCGTTTGCCATCAATTCATCATGGCAGTGATCAATTCATAGTCCTTAGGACAGTTTTTTATAACACCAGCTAACAGTATTATTAAAGGAACACGGCCAGAACATGGCCAGAACACAAAGAACACAAAGAACACAAAGAACACAAAGAACACAAAGAAATAGTTAAAGTTGAGGTTCAGTTTTGAGAGACAAGTCATCATGAATATGAACTGTACTCCTGAAACCCGTTGTTTAAAAACCTGTCTTTGCTCCTGGGGACACTCCTGGGGACACTCCTGGGGACACTCCTGGGGACACTCCTGGGAACACTCCTGGTATGGCAGCTGCTGGTGTGGATGCTGCTGGCGCAACAACTGGTTATGAACAGAAAATGGGAAATAACAGATGTCAGATACAACACAGAGTTTGCCACCGTCAGTTTTGACAATTAGTCAGTGTGATAAAAGCGCACTTACAGGTCCGCACGTGTGGTTTGGAGGATTTCATGGTCATCATGGCACTCTCCAGCTCTTCATCCTCGTCCATCGCTGTGGTCCAAACAAATATTACAGGGTACAAAAAAGAATAAGTTCACCCAAATTAGGATAGGTTTAAAGTATTAGTCACATGTCATCAGATGTGGCAAATAACAATATATAATAATTAATTTACCCATGGGTTTGGAGACACTTGCAGCCTGTTCCTCGGGTGGGGAAGCTGAGGCCGATCGCTGCCTCTTCTGCAGGTACTGCTGCAGCTTAAACATGCGCGTACCTGGGACGCAGACCTTCCCCAAAACGAAGGCCGCATAGCCATCAGCTCTGCTGTCCCAAATCTCCTTCCAGGTACTTTTCCCACGAGTGCCAAAGCCAACCAGCTGGTCATCTTCCGATGAAGCTGCCAGAACACCAACTCCACTTGCCTCATAGGTTCGGAGAGACTGGATCTCATCAAAATCGAGGGCGTAATTGACGAATGACTGCAGGCTGTCCTTGGCATGTCCAGCAGTCACGGTGACGCCTGATGCCTCCTCCTTCTCCACGTTTTTAATCAGGTACATTGTGTATCCGATGTCGTTTTCCAGAAGCCACCGGAAAGATTTCCCTTTGTATTTCCCAAACTGCAGGATGTAGTCCCCCAGCACCTCTGCCCGATCTGAGGCGTCCCCTCCTCTCTGACGGACCACAGCCAGGGCATTCTGGTGTACGAGGTCTGCCCGTGTGGGTGCAGACTTGTCCTGCAGAGTGGCGTCCTCTTTGATTCTCCTGGCTTCCTTCGATGGCTCCTGGAGGAGAAATCCGAGTGGTCCCTTGCGGAACACAACGCAGATTTTCCCCGGGAAGAAAGTCATCGTCTTCTGCATTTTCTGTAATATGAGAAAAAAATAGAAGTTTAAGGTTTATTTTAATCAGATACTTTAAGAGGGTATTTGTGAAATACGTTTAACAAATTTCACAAGAATATTTCAGATCACATGTTATCATCCTGCTTAAATAGAATCAGCCAATTTAACATCTAACAGCTTTAAAACTTCTATGATCTTCAGTAAAAAGTTCAGAAGGTCAAGAAGACAATAGCTTTTCACACCTTTTTGATCTTCACCTGATCTAAGATCTAAGGGGGAGGAAGTGTGGACATCAGAGAGTCTGTCTGAGAACTTCAGGGGGTGTGTGTGGGTGTGTGGGTGTGTGTGTGTGGGGGTGGGGGGGTGCACAGCATGTGTGCAGAACACTAGAGGAGGGAGTGAGAGGGGCAGTAGTTGTGGGAAAAAAAATATATGTGCCTAATCAGCAACGTTTAAGTGTATGAGTTTAGAGAAGGGCAAATGGGGTAGGAGAGGAGACCCAAACTATGAAAAATTAGGATATTCATTCAAAATTTACCGCGGTATACACAAAACTTGTCTGACAGAAAAGGCGCTCAAATCTTGTCACATCAAGCTAGTACCGGCATAACCCGACAGTACTACTGCACTGTTACTGTACATATACGAACTACCTGCTTACTTCATGTGACCATTAAGCAGATAACATTTGTTAAAACATCGGTATCAAATGCTTTAGGTTTGAAGCATACTGTAAAATTATGTATTCATGTTATATTCATTTGAATCACTCTCTCTATAATCTAGCGCTAAATTTCAGATCTGATCTCTCACCGAGCGGGCGATTCTTATTAATTACACAAAATCAGTTTCAGTAACTTTTAGCGTTAATGAACATGGAAACTGGAAAAGAAATACCCAAAACTATGAATAAAATATCATATTCATTCAAAATTCACCGCGGTATACACCAAAACTTGTCTGACAGAAAATGCGCTCAGATTTTGTCACATCAAGCTAGTACCGGCATAACCCGACAGTACTACTGCACCGTTACTGTACATGTACATATACGAACTACCTGCTTCAAACCACGGGTGATAAGTCCGTAAATTGATCCTATAGTTTTACATTTTAATGCCAAACAAATTCTCTTACCTTCAATAGACAGTGATGAGATCACAATTCGGAGAGAGTTGTAGACGGTGTGTTGCCTCCAGCGAAGTGCGCTCCGAATGAAGGATTGTCAGGCGCTACACAACTTTAGGAGCGGAGCTCGGGACAGCGCCACAAAAAAATACCAGTGGCCAAAAGTATATTACATCCGTAGTGGTTTAGCACTACCATAGAGAATGAATGGGAATCGGTTTAGGGCCGTTTAGCTAAACAATTCTCGCTGCTCGCGCGGGAGGCCCGGGTTCGATTCCCGGCCAATGCACAGAGTGAGTTTTGAATTGGGCAAAGGTGCCGCATGGTGTGCAGTCAGGCCAAAGAAAACTTGCTGGCAAAGGATCCGCCCATGACTGTTCAGCTCGATGCGCAAACATGCTTGAAAACTACACCACAGCCCAGCACACATAAGCTCAAACTTTGCCATGCAAAGCCTCGTACACAGTGACGTCGACAAGCTGCCCTTTTAACACAAAGCATTTTGGTCAGAAGCTAGGTTTTCAACCCACTCACCGGAGAGAAGCTGCTTCCCAGACTCCAATCCTACAACCGCTTTCCCATGGTGTCCTCTTGCGGCCCTGTCATTGGCAAAGTGTTGCTCATAGATAAAGAGGTTGACACTCAACCACAGTACGTGGCCACACATAAAGTAGCATGGCCAGAGCCCAGTGTGAACCGGCAGAGTGAGCAGACTGCACTTTTGACTGGATGGCCACATTGGATCAAAGGTTACAAGACAACCAAAGGGACACCAGTCGCCCCTGAAGCGGAAGGCAAAAGCATCTGCAAGAGGTTGGGGATAGTGCAGAGATGTTTTTTTCTCCCAAAAACCAGTACGGTGAAAGTCATGCTGGCGCTGTTGCGCGGCGACGCCCCGCCAGGGAGCAGCACCAGGAGCATTGGTGGTTCAGTGGTAGAATTCTCGCCTGCCACGCGGGAGGCCCGGGTTCGATTCCCGGCCAATGCACAGAGTGAGTTTTGAATTGGGCAAAGCTGCCGCATGGTGTGCAGTCAGGCCAAAGAAAACTTGCCGGCAAAGGATCCGCCCATGACTGTTCAGCTCGACGCGCAAACATGCTTGAAAACTACACCACAGCCCAGCACACATAAGCTCAAACTTTGCCATGCAAAGCCTTGTACACAGTGACGTCGACAAGCTCCCCTTTTAACACAAAGCATTTTGGTCAGAAGCTGGCTTTCAACCCACTCACCTGAGAGAAGCTGCTTTCCAGACTCCAATCCTACAACCGCTTTCCCATGGTGTCCTCTTGCGGCCCTGTCATTGGCAAAGTGTTGCTCAAAGATAAAGAGGTTGACGCTCAACCACAGTACGTGGCCACACATAAAGTAGCATGGCCAGAGCCCAGTGTGAACCGGCAGAGTGAGCAGACTGCACTTTTGACTGGATGGCCACATTGGATCAAAGGTTACAAGACAACCAAAGGGACACCAGTCGCCCCTGAAGCGGAAGGCAAAAGCATCTGCAAGAGGTTGGGGATAGTGCAGAGATGTTTTTTTCTCCCAAAAACCAGTACGGTGAAAGTCATGCTGGCGCTGTTGCGCGGCGACGCCCCGCCAGGGAGCAGCACCAGGAGCATTGGTGGTTCAGTGGTAGAATTCTCGCCTGCCACGCGGGGGCCGGTTGCGAATAGCTGTAACAGAGAAACAGCCAATAGGATTAAAGTATGTTTTTTTTTTAATTCAAGGGGTCTGAATTCGGGTTCGAATCCCCACTCAGACATCTGAGAAAAGATGAGATTTACAAAACAAGAACTTTACTCGTCCCCAGAGGGGAATTAATTGTCTTGAATCTCAATTAATCCTCTGGGATTAAGTATCTATCTATCTATCTATCTATCTATCTATCTATCTATCTATCTATCTATCTATCTAATATAATCTCATCTATCTAATGAACAGCACAACTTCTCCTGGACAGTTCTGTGTGAAGACTTACACCATCTCTGGTTCCTTTCTTCTTGCCACTCATTTCAGCATCTTTCTCTGACCTTATGACAGTAAAGCCAGTAGATCCCCACTGGAGTCTGAGTTGTTTTGATTCAACCAGGTTTCAGTAACACTTAGGAGACTGCACTTACAGTATGCTCTTGTAGAAGTACCTGAAGTTCATGGTTGCTTTCTTTGTTTCATACACGCATGAAATCAAGTACACCTTCTAAAAAGTAATAATGAGAGTTTGAGACCACATTAAAATGTCTATGCTGGTGAACCAGAAACAGTAAGTCTTGGCATCATATTATTTTGATTCCAAGCTGTAAAAAAAAGACGTAGATTTCAATTTTGAACATGTAAAAAGTTTAATTGACAAAAAAGTTATAATACTCAGGAATATAATAAAATATATAATATAAATATTATAATAAAATAAAATATATAATACAATATATAATACAATAAAATTATTCTTATTATATCTAGATAATATATACTTTTTTTCTACCAATGAAAGAAACACTTATAAACTACTATAAACAAATTGACAACAAAGTTACAATATTCAGTAATATAATAAATAATATTCAGTAACACAATAAAATATATAATAGAATAAAATATATAATAGAATATGTAATACAATAACGTTATTCTTATTCTTATAATAATAGTAATAGATAATATTTACATTTTTTCATCATCTGCCAATGACAGAAACACCTATGAACTACTATAAACAAATTGACAAGCAAGTTATAATATTCAGTACCATCATAAATAATATTCCTTACTATAATAAAAAATATAATAAGTATATATAATAGTATATATAATATATGATTGAATCTGGCTCAACATTTAACAACAACTATAGTAACAACAACAACAAATTATTCTTGTATTCATATTTACATATATACAGACATATTTTCAAGAATAATTTTTTCATTTACACATAAACACATATATACATTTATACATATATACAAATATGGAAACAAACTATGTCCTTTCATCCTTCCATCTTTGTTTCTCCATCTCATAGAAAGGAGACCCACAAAACTCCTTCCAGCTCAGCTCCCTGGTCATTCCCTTGCTGCGATATAGAGACAGCACCTTCGAAGGGCAGTAAATATATTTCCCTGCCACTCCTGGGAAGCCAGTATGAACGTGAGGACTGTTTGGCCCCTGTTTCAGTCCCTGCTGACAGAACCGACAGAGGCGGCCAGCTTGATGTGCGTCTGGCTGTTTCCTTTTTTTCTCCTCCACCCGTTTTTTTGTTTCCTCCAGCTCCCTCTGGAAAAACTCCGTCTGCGCAAACTCCTCGAAGGGCATCTTGGCATCTGAAAGCCCCTCAGCAGCATAGCTTTGATGCACTTTCTTTGAGCAGTAGAAATAGCGGACGGGCCCCTGCTGGTAAAAAAAGTGGACCGAGGATCCATCGGTCTCGTATCGAGACTTGGGCTGTCCGCAAGCGAGACAAGTCTTTGTCTGCCTTTTCTTCTGCTCTGGCTGGGGCTGTTGTTGCTGATACTGCTGCTGTTTTCCCAAGATGCCCTCCACAATTTTCTCCAGGGAGTCTTGGGTCAGAGGTGTGGGCAGGGCAGGTGTAGGGGGCCTGACAATAGCCGCCTCCATGGTGACCACAGGAACGCTAGACGTGACACTCCCCTCTGTTAAAGAGTGCCACAGCTGCTGGGTTTCCTCGAGTTTTTCCGGGCTAGTGTTCAAGGAGGAGCTGGTGTTAAGGAGCTTTGCCAGGTGCCTCACATATCTAGATATGTGGAGCTTGGTGGTGGGGTGCAGCAAGCTGTTTGGATCCGTGGCTGACTGATGGACCATCTCAGCATAATCCTGATCCACAAGCTTCAGGCTGTCCTTCCGGCCGTGGTGCTTCTGCAGCAGTTTATCGA